TCACACATGCTGTGGGATTCATTATGAGTGAAATATGGAAAAGCAACACAGAACGTCCAGTTCCTTTCATCAAGCTAACATGATGGCCACTGTGTTCCCAGTGTGTGTATCTGTCTTATTGAAGAGTCAAGCGTAATCAGTGTTCAAGAAAGCTCTTAGAATAAGTATATGGGCTCCAGTTCAGCTGAAGTTAGTCATGACAATTGTTGCATTCCTAAGCATAGTTAGTAGGCACTAGTAACCTCTACAGAATGCAATGGTTCTTGCTCTTGAGGAAGCGTGTTGGGGATTGCACCATGTATCTCATTAAAGCCAATGAGAGCCACGTTGGTTGTGACTAATTTGTTCCACTGGTTTACACAGGACTCTTTGGTGCCTAACATTAGCTAGGCTTCAACCGTTGTCAGGATGATACATCAGGAATATATGGTGAATATTCAAGATCAGGACCCCATTCTTCATGGTTAGCAAGGCCAGGGAAACGTGCTTTGAAGTCCAGTCTAGAAAACCATTTGTTGACTTTTTCCCCCGCCACAGAGCTGCACTTGTAGTGAGTCAGAGGGGTAAGAGGAGCTATGCTACATGAGTATAAAACTATGCATGTGTGGAGAAAGTGGATAGAGATAACGCTAGAACTCAGGGACATCCAGTGAAGCTGAATGTTAGGACATCCAGAAGACAGCACTTTTGCACACATCACATAGTTAAAACTGTGGAATCTGCTCCGACAAGAGGCAGTGATGCCCACCACCTTGGAAGGCCTTAAAAGAGGAGAGTGCAGCTGCGCTTGGGTCCTGCTTTGGGGCTTGCCACAGGCACCTGCGAGAATGGGATGCTGGTCATTACTCTGATCCGTCTGGCTCTTCTTAGATTGGCCAGGGTTTCAAATTCCCTGTGGTTAACAATTGCAGTAGCAGAAGAGAACACACACACACACACCCTCAAATTAGGCTGCTGAGTTGAAGACATCCTGGATTAGCCAGTGAGTGTATGAGAGCATTGTGGGCTCAGCTTCATTCTGGTACTAAGAAAAGAAACTGTTTATGGTCAGTTTATGGTCAGAGTCACCCTGCTTTTCAATTGCCTTTTGCACCTGGCTCTGTTTGGTAGGTCTTTTGGTTCCAGTAAAAAAACCAAGTAGATCCGACAAGCAAGGCGTCTGCTCACCCCCATCGTAAACTCTGCCTGCTTCTTCAGGGTGCTGAGCCCCTGCCTGATCCTCACTCCCAAAAGCCAATCATTTTGATGGGACCTGAATAATTTTTCCCACATTGAGGGGACATGATTGATAGGTCCTATAAAATCATTTATATTTCTACAGCAAAACACTTTCCCTGTCAACAGAATGCTAAACTCATTGCCGGCCTATACTGTCTAAGAAATTGGGGGGGGGGCAGCTCTTATTTCCAAACTGTAATGACTTCAGACAAATGATAAGCTTCCTGGATTTACTAGTTCTCCTAGTATTCATTTCCCATTTCATTTCCCTTCAATCTTGCTACACTTTCATATTTTCAATCTGTAGCAGACGTTTGTCCTCTGGTTTTGTATTTCAGGTGAAGAAAACAATTATTTTGCTCCCTATCTCACCTTCTAAAATGTCATTATGTTAGAACAGGAGCTGGCAACCTTTATGCCCATGAGCTGTTTGGAAGGGGTGCAGTTTACAAGACAGGACGCATAGTTATTCCCTTGATTTTATCCTTGCTACAAGGTAGATTAGGTTAAGACAGGGGTCTGCAACCTGCGGCTCCGGAGCCGCATGTGGCTCTTTTACACCTTTGCCGCGGCTCCGGGGCGGATACTAACGAGGGGAGGAGGCGCATTGTGCGCCCCGACACTCCCCACTGTGGCGGGCGCTGTACTGGCTGTGACGTTGCATGGGGGCGGTGCGTGCGTTAGTCACACACCATCCCGACGTCACCTTCCCGCCCGCTACATTGTAAGGGGCATGTACGCTGGTCACTGCATTGAAAGGGGGCATGTACGCTGGTCACTGTTTTGAAGGGGAGTGAAGAACGCACACACACACACAAAAAGGTAACTTGTTAATTTAACGTTTATTTCTATGAGGAGGAGTAATTCTGAGGGGTCAAACAAAGAAATAATTTAAAAAAGTGACAAAAAAGTTATTTTTATAATGACGAGTTTTGCGGCTCCCAGTTTTTTTTTCTTCGGAAACAGGTCCAAGTGGCTCTTTTTGTCTTAAAGGTTGCAGACCCCTGGGTTAAGAGATAGTGACTGGCCCAGGCTCACCCAGTGACATTCATGGTCGAGTGGCAATTGGAACCCTAACTGGCACTGCACAATGGCTCTCCTCCCCCTTAACAGTCTTTAGTCAGAGGTCATCTTTAGCTGGACAGGCCTGAAGAGCCATGGAGCTGTCCACGATATAGTGCTGAAAGCTGGCCACTGGGACTCGGGATTTCACAGCAACATCAATTACTGTACAGTACAGTACAATGGCGCTGTGGGTTAAACCACAGAACCTAGGACTTGCTGATCAGAAGGTCGGCGGTTCGAATCCCCACGACGGGGGTGAGCTCCCGTTGCTCGGTCCCAGCTCCTGCCAACCTAGCAGTTCAAAAGCATGTCAAAGTGCAAGTAGATAAATAGGTACCGCTCTGGTGGGTGTTTCCGTGCGCTGCTCTGGTTCGCCAGAAGCGGCTTAGTCCTGCTGGCCACATGACCCAGAAGCTGTACGCTGGCTCCCTTGGCCAATAAAGCGAGATGAGCACCACAACCCAAGAGTCGGTCACGATTAGACCTAATGGTCAGGGGTCCCTTTACCTTTACAATGCATACTGTATGAGAACACAAACTGGGTAGCTGCTTCAGTTCTGTCTCATACTAAATCTGAATTTTGGGAGAACCGTCTGTTATGTTTTATTTTCAATTTGTTTTATTGTGTTTGCTTTTTGCAATAAATATTTACTTAGTTTTGCAATATGAATTAAGCTGAATGTGTTATTGTTGTTTTGCTACATCCCTAGTACCTTTTGTCTGGCTGAGTTTATTGCTACTTAAACATTTTACTTGGGTGGGGTGTTGCGAGAACAAGTAGAACAGGAGAGGTAAATGCCCCATGCTAAGGCTCTGTCTTCTGCAGCCCAACCCTCTGTGCATTTATGCAGAAGTAATACCTGCTGAATTTAATGTGCTTTGTTTCCATGTAAATATGGATAGAACTGCACCTTCAGAGGATGTAGCACCATTTATTTGTCCTCAGATTTTCAGCACTAGGAAGTGCTGAAATAATTCAACAAATGTTTCCTCACCAAGTGGATAATATAAACAGCTGTTAATGTTACCAAAATGTCATAAAGTGTCACTTTCAGGTGACAATAGTTGTGACTTGCAGATCTTGTTATGCACCAAGCTGAACAAAATCCAAGAGCCGTGTGCTACCCACCATTTTTGCATTCCCAGCAGGCAGCAAGCATAAGTTTATTAAGATCATGGTGATCTGTGCCTGTACAGCTGTACAAACAGTAGAGTTCTGGTGTAATTAACTTTATGGCTGAGTGCATGTCAGTATATCAACTACAATTTGCACAGGAAGGAGCACAATAGGTGTACTGACATTCACTCAGTAATGGGAACTGTAGTTCGAGAATTCAATTTTGTTAGTGTGTCTAGGCATGTGGAAAACATACATTTTGAAATATGCTTTGAAAAAAATCTGAGTTTTGGGTTTTGTTCTGTTTTTTCTCTTAAGCATTTTGGATGTAAATTATTCTGGCAATGATGTGTTTGCTATATATGTATATATTTTCCAGAAAAATATTTTGATGTGCCTCAAGATGGGAGAGGTAAGATTATATCCAAGAAGAGCAGCAACTTCAGTCCCAGAAGGGGGAAGAAATCTGAGTGAATGATGAAGGAAAATGGCCCAACCAAGAGATGGTGTGTAGTCTACTTGCCTGGAGAGAACCATCACTGTGTCAAGTGGGTGATAAGGAGAAATGGTTGTGAGAAAATGGCATGCAAGCAATACCTGTGAAGAACTTTGCTTATTGGGGAGAGACAAAGCTATTGCGGGGGATGCTTATTGAAGTGAAAAACAAGTTGCTGTAGTGGAAATCCAAGCTGAGAATAGGCATAGACTACCGTATGAACCTTTGGTAGATATGCTTTATATGCCTCCTCCATCCATTAAATTGGTATTTGAGCCGACTCTTAAGCGTCAAAATAATGAATGCGGCTTTTTTCCAAAGTTCTCTAGTGAGTGTTGTCACAATATGGTAGATATAGTTCAGTTTGAATTATTTTCTCTTATCCCCCCCGCGCACATGAGCCCTTTTTCGGAGCCAGAAGAAAGGACAGCAGTCATTTTAGATTATGTAATCTTACCATTTTTCTCCATGGCAAGATGTCAAGCATCAATGTCATGTTCCTGAGCACACCAAGTGGCCTCTATCGCCTGTTCAGATGAGGAATTAAGGGGAAGGCACAACCTCGTCCTTCTTGACCCCAAGTGGGGGGAAGAGAATCTAAGACAAATAGCACCACTTGTAATAATTTAAAGCAATAAAATAGTTGTTGCCCTCTGATAAATGAGGTTCATAGTCCAATTCCTTTGTTTTTAAGGTACTATTTGCCCTTTAACTGGCCTTAGGAATTACCTCCCCCTCAGAAACTTGATGACAGCCTTCCAAACCAGGACAGCCGAGATGCTCTTGCTAAGGAGTGTGGCAATGGTCAGATATTGTGCATTCTGAAGCATCTTGCATGTTTAATGGAAGGGGATATAATGTGAAGCTATGGCAATGTTTTATAGGTCATTCTTACAAAACTCCATTAGGCACCATGACTTAACGTACAGCAAAGCACACACTGTTGCTAGTTGACAATTCAGTATCAGGAAAACACTCTCTGTTTGCTCAATTATTATTATTAGGTCTTCTCTGGAGATGCCTTTTCAAAAGGAAAGCATTTCACTTTGTGCTTTTATATTTGGGAGGGAAATATTGGTTGTTTACCTGCAGAAATATAGCGGACAGAAGGAGGAGGTTGCATAACCAGCGATCGTGCACACAACTGGAAAAGTCCACAAACATTATCTTTGTAATATTGGTTAGTCCAGGATACAGTATTTAGAAAACTGCCTTATGCTTCATCAGAATAGTGGTCTATTTGGTAGGCCTATCAAGCTCCATGCAAGAGCATATCCAGCTTAGCTACCCAACAGCCTTTAACTGGAGACCAGAGGCTAGCAGCCCAAGATTTGGCTGATTATTTCCAGTCAATTTCTGATTCCTCACCTCTGCTGCTCCTAGCCACGTTGACTGTTCCTCTCTGCCTCTTTCCGCTCGTAAGCACCTCCTTCTGGCATTCCCCTAGACCACTCCCTCTGCAAGCCCCATCCTGAATTCCCACTTCCCCATAGCTATGGCCCATATTACATCTGTTCCACATTTCCAATGCCTTTCTGCCAACCCAGTATTCAGGCAGCTCAGCCAATCACTGCAGTACAGGGATTGAACCCAGAACCTTATACATGCAGTGTATGCTGTCAATTGCTCAACTAGTCCAACCCGAGCACCATGGGGGCCTCTTCCAAATACAGCAAGAACATCAAAGAGTGAGCTGGTTCCTGTTTTTCTCTTGACAGGACGTCTCCTAGGGAAGCATATGATACAGGAAGAGAGCACAGTTCCTCCAGCTTTCCTAGGGGCACCACGTCTGCTGTTGCCCTAGACATGTAGCAGCTCAGACATGAGCCATTTTCCCCTCACAGTCAGCCAACTCTTAAGGGGGCCTGAGTTTGCAGGTCCTTGGTACAGGCTTTCAGACTGGATGTTTTATTTCCACAGCCATCGATGTAGCGTTCCGATGGATAGAGTTGACAAAGGTCTTCAAATCACCACTGCCTCTGAGCTTTCTGTTTTGTAGAAAGGGTTTCCCCCAATACATCTGAAGGGATAAGAATGGAAATTACTCTCTCAAAAAGGCATTAATATTTTAAGCATTCGGATATGCAGCATTGTGTAGTCAAGAGCAAAATCTACTGGGGGGGTGGGAATTCTGTGCCCAGGTTTGCCTTGATATTCTGTTTATCTTCTTTGCTGTGAAGATGATATACCTCTGGTTTTGGAGCAAACCTACTTCTTCCACTTCTCATCCCATCAGAAATCCTGTCTACCCACTATAATCCTGTGCAGAGGAGAATAAACATGTATACCTTTAACTGATGGGTAGAAGAGGGGATTTTGTCATGCAGAAGTGACAGGTGATGGGAGTTGTGGTCCAAAACACCCAGAGGGCAGAAGGTTGGCAAAGGTTGTGTTAGAAGGTCAGGTACCCTGCTGTTCTTTGCCCTCGGATTCTGAGGGAAGGAGCAGTTCTGCAGTCTTCAGAACCACAGCAGCCGCTTAGCCTTTCAATGGATCTGTCACAACGTGCATCGTATTAACACAGCATAGCATCTCATTGCTATACAGAAGGGCAGCCCTCAGCTACACACAATCTACCATGACAAATTCAGTCATGTATTATCGATAATTCCCTCTTGACCCCACATTTGTAGACCCAGACACCAAAACATAGGGCCTATCAAGCCTCTGGTGGGATACAATACAGTGGTATCTCGAGATGTGAACGGGATCTGTTCCGGAGCCCCATTCGCATCCCGAACGGAACGCAAGACGCACGTGCGCGGGTCGCATTTCGCCGCTTCCGTGCACGTGCATGACGTCATTTTGACCGTCTGCACATGCACGAGAGGCGAAACCCAGAAGTAACACGCTCCGTTACTTCCAGGTCACCGTGGAGCGCAACCCGAAAGCGTTCAACCTGAAGCGTATTTATCCCGAGGTATGACTGTACAGTGTTGTCGGGATGCAAATTCTGATGGCATTGATGGGCACAAAGTTACCATTTGTCAGTTAATGCTTCTTCAGAATTCAGGTTTAATTTAAGTTAGAACATACTCTCTTTTTGAATTGATTTAGGTGTTGCCCACTCCAAAGCAGTCTTCTTGTATTCATTCTCTTGGAACACGTCAAACTGAGCAAAGTAGTTGGCTGTACTTTGCTCTAGCAGGCTGTGTAGCTGCAGTTGCCGGCAACTGGTCCCACATGAGCACAGTAGCCTTAGATGCAGATGTGCATCCTCTCTCACATCCAAGGACATGTTCAGCCAGTTCTTAATAAGGCTGCAATGAGCTACCACAGAGAAAGTGTACTGCTGACTTAAACTGGGTCTCTGAACTATCCTTGTTAAGCAACATATTTTCTCCAATAAACTCCCAAGTCACCACTTTTCATTTGGATCAGCATTAGAATGGAACCACTAAGAGAGTGAAACACAGAAAATGCCACTCCAAGTTTCTATACACTGGGTTAAAACCATTCTCCACTGGGATTGTCCCCCTGTGCCAAATTTCACAAGCCTCCTACCTCCCCAGCCATGTTGTGCTGTGTGGATCAGGCACTTCATGTAGTGAATTTCCTTGCCCCCACTGCACATCGTTGGCAACTGTGGTCGGGGTCGAGGACACTTATGGCTGAGAAGAGATGCTTGACAACACACGGGTTATAACTGCTGAAATCTCAGAAGCCGGAGGATTGGCTGAATAAGACTGTTTGAGGTGGTGGGCTTCAGGACTCTGCCAAGGTTATTACCACATCCCAGGTCTAGGAAAACCATAACCCAGTATGTGAAATGGAATAAATGATATAAAGTATTCAGGAGATTGTATAATTTGTGCAGGTCACAGAATTGGAATTGCCTGGGTGCATATTTTAAATGTTTTTTTTATAGTATGAGTTCACACAGATATAAGAATGAAGCCTAATCAGACTATAAAGAGAGAAAAAGATTAAGATTTCATTCACCAGGCAATATTACATTTCAATTTAAGCAGTGTTTTCAGCAAATATAATTTACCTGACAGATTACATTGAACCAAGTTTCTTTCTGTACATATTCATTCATCTGGATTTCTTCCAAACTAATCCTAAACTGTACATGGAGTTTTGTTTTGTTTTTTATAAAAAATATCTACTTTCATTGTGATGTTGAAATTGTCACAGAGATCTTTGTAAAAAGCTTGTGTTTCTGAAGGAATTTGTATTAGATAATGGTTTGTGTGACTCACTGTATTTTGTAAAGGGTTTATTTCCCTTTGGGAATTGTGTGTTTCTAATGAGCAGTTTTATGCTTCTAGTTTGTGAACGTTGTAAATGAAATGTGTTTTCTGACCCTCCATAAGGAATAGATTGATATTTGATAGATACTAACTGGTTGAGATTTTCATATTGCCTAAAATATTTGCATATGTTGATAAAAACCATATTGTAATAGAACAGTTTGCCAATGTTCAGTGATAATAAAACAAAAAAGCTCTTTATTTTAGCTGAATGTTGGATCTGACTGAGACTAACAGTTAACCTGGCCTTAAATTCAGTGTTGTAGTTCCATAAGTGGATCATCATCCCACATCATTTGCTGTTTGTAATGTTTCAGAGTAACCATCAATAAAAAAAATATATCAAAAGCTCCAATGTAACATGGGACTCGAAATCCAAATTTCAGAGGACAGCTACAATAGATCCACTTCCTGGCACGTGTTTGTGGTTCACATTTCAGTAGATCTACTCCATGGAGATACCTAGTTAGTTAGAATCCTCTTGTTATTCCATGTTTAAAAATTCAAAGCTGTAATTGTTGATTTATTCACTGACTCTAACTCACCGATTCCAAGGGAAGTGCTTTGAAAACTGAACAGCTGAAGTGTAGATTGTAAACTAATTGCCTCCCTCCCTCCCTCTAATATGTAAAAAAAAGAAAAGCCAGAAAGATCTGATCAAGTTTAATGATAAGCAAGAGAATAAAAAACCTCTTGCATAATCAACATCAATACTATACACCATTAAGGACTGGTGCTTTGAATAAAGGGGCCTTAGGTGCACTTCTAAGTGCTAATGGTCACATGCTGGAGATATATATTCCATAGGCATCCATGAGATGTCATACAAACAAATGAGAAAGTAAAACCGGGCTCCAGCACTTATGTTGAAGGATTGTTTTTCCATATCTAGTATTTAAACTCCTGTGCAGAGAAAACTGTGCAGAGAAGAGATTTCACATTGTCTTCTGCTTCATAGGCTAGTTTCCTGGGTTCAGAGAGGTTTGCTTTTTTCCCACAGGGAAGCAATTCCACCATGTGAGCCCCTCACAGGCGCTCTGAAATAAACCCTTCAGTTTAAAAATAATGTAACTAAAGGGGGGAGAGAACTCTAAATCAAAAGTTATTCTTAATCAGATTTTATTTTATTTTTTTTAAATGCATCATCGCCGCCTTAAATAACTGCATTGGTTTGAACCAATGAGTCAACAGCTAAGCGCCAAGATCTAGCAAACATCTCATGGTGTTACTGAAAAGCAGCAGCAAGCAGTCTCTGAGGAGTTCTTGAGTGGAGGAAAAATCATCCTGGTTTTCATCCCTAGAGCAAAACATAGCAACTAGAGACAGCAACCTCTGTCTTCAGAAATAAAAGTTTTTTAAATCTCTGAAGAGACCAAACGCCAGGGGGATTCTTGCAGACATCAAATGGTTACTTGATTTGAATAGATATCCTTGTTTAAAAGGTCTAAGATTTTGCTGTTTGGTTGGATCAGAAGAAACCTCAGAAAGGTCACAGCTCGGTGGTACAGCATCTGCTTTGCATGAAGAGGGTCCCAGGTTTAATCCTGCCATCTCCAGCTTTGGTTGGAAAGACACCTGCCCACCTTCTATGCTGCCTTTTATGTTCCTACCCAACCAAGTTGGACTTGGGGGTTGGACTCGATGGCCCTTGTGGTCTCTTCCAACTCTATGATTCTATGATTCTAAGTCCAGCACTCTGTTCCAAACAGCAACCAGCCAGATGCATCCGGGTGCTCACAAGCAGCGATTGATGGAGATGACTGTCCTCCGATGTTTGTCCCAAACATCTGATACTCATTCACAGATCATTCAGTGTCTTTGTCCATAGCCATGGGAGTAAAAGCATAGCAAACCTATCCTCCATGAACTTCTCAAAGCCATACAAGTGTCAGGGACTGTACTGAAGAGGAATGGTGTGGATCGCCTCCCCCCTTTCTGAACCTTCCCAGGAAGAGGAGAACAGTATAGATTTAGAACAGTGGTTTGCAGAAGGTCATAGTTCAGAGGCTGCAGAGGGGAAGAGCTGGAAAATATTGGGAGAGCAGAAGGAAGAATAAGCACCAGGGGAGAGACAGCTGACACTCAGTGTCTTTGGAAAGCATTCCTCACCACCATCCCCTTCTCCCAGGACCCAGTGCGCATTAAGAGTAATAGAACAGAAAGCTCAGAGGCAGAAAGCACAGATCAGCCGGTGCAGAAGTGATGTAGACTGGAGATGGAGGGGTGGGGCGTTACTCGGAGCGATACCATTATCTGAGAATCAGTATCATGTTTGCTTGCTTGCTTGCCACCCATCTGACTCAGGTTGCCCCAGCCACTCTGCGAGGCTTCCAACAAATTAAACACAGTAACACATCAAACATTAAAAACTTACCTATACAGGGCTGCCTTCAGATGTCTTGTAAAAGTCAGATAGTTCTTTATCTCCGTGACATCTGACAGGAGGTTGTTCTACAGGGAGGGTGCCAATACTGAGAAGACCCTCTGCCTGGTTCCCTGTAACCTCACTTCTCGCAGTGAGGGAACCGCCAGAAGACCCTCAGAGGAGGACCTCAGTGTCTGGACTGAGCAATGGGGGTGGAGACACTCCTTCAAATATACTGGGCGGAAGCCATTTAGGGCTTTAAATGTCAGCACCAACACATTGAATTATGTGCAGAAACATACTCGGAGCCAATGTATATGTTTCAGGACCGGTGTTCTACATACATGCCAATTTTAGTATGGACATCATGCATCAGATGAGGTGACCATGGCCATAATAACTATGTTAGTTTTTTGTAAAGAGTCGTCGTTAAAGAATTTAGCATAACAAACTTAGGGGTTTCAAACATTAGAAATACAGGGGAAATAAAAATAATTTTTTACCTAGCATCACATATTAAGATTAAGAATAGAGTACTGATATCAGCAACAATTAACCCTCACTGGAGAAATGGCTCTTGTGACAAAGCATCGACAGCTGAACAGAAGTAGGTGAAACTCCTGCAAGAGAGCATCAGGAACTCAAATCAAGCAAAAAACGAATCACATGGCTGAAGAATGCCCTTACTTCCTACAGTGTTTAACATCAATCACAGCCCAACTTAATATTCCCTGCATATGGTGGAGCACAGGGCTAACACAGTGACATCAGAGCAGGGCTTGACTTTGACCAGTTTCTGGCCTTTTGTCCACTTGACAATCTTTCCTAAGAACTAAGCGCAACACAGGAGAGTCTTCCAAGGGCTCAAAATAAAAGATCTTGAAGAATGTGGATGTGTCTCTACCTTTTGAAATGATCAAAGGTAACTAGAGAGCTGTGAAACAGATTGATCCATGGGGAAGCTTGTCATACATGCCATCATTTTCAACGCAATACAGTCTTTCTAGTCTTCAAAATCTCTCAAGAAAATGAGTTTCACTAATCCATGTCAATTATAATTTTAATAACAAAAAGGGAAATAAGGCCAGAAAAAGTTCCCAGTTCAGTTTATCACAGATATGTGTGTAAGCCATTTGTAATTTCCCAGAACATAAGAGTCTGGATGGGGCACCAAATAAATGAGCCCATCTAAACCAGTGCCCTGCTCTCACAATGGCCAGCCTGCAAGCAGGACTTGAACACAACAGCACTCAAACTGTTTAATGAAAATAAATTTCAACTTGTAGACATTCCCTTGCCTATTCAAAGATATGATTCTTGCTGACCCTTGGTGTGGCTATAATCATGCCTGGAGTCATAGATCCAGAACCAGTGGGAAGACATGACTATTTCAGATTAAGGAGCCAGTGAGCCACTAAAGAAGCAGTACATCATGTTGTAAATGGACTGTACCACTTCACACTGCGGGTAAGGTATTGTATGTGTTAATGCTCCACATATGACCCCCCCCTCCAAAAAATCCATATAAATAGAAAACTAGCATGTCAGGGAGAAGACTAGACCAGAATTATTTCTCTTATCTCCTAACTTTCTATGTAGAGGAAATTATGCTGAAGCGTCCAGCTGTCTGATCCCTCACCTGCAATACAGTCCAGGAACAATTTCACCCTATGTTCCAAGTTCATATAAACCCAACCTCATGCAGCCATATTCCACAGAGAGAAAGCAGTTGGTACTCTGAGCAACAACATATAGAGTGCAATAACCCAACCCCTGGAGTTGTGTGGGTGGAATTTGTAGTGGTAAACTGATGCCAAAGATGGACTATTACAAAGTCCAGGAGTAGAAAAGAAGGTGGTTTTGCTCCCTGCTTTGATTTCAGTCCTTTAATTACAAGTGCACCTGTTGATGTGCAGTGGGAGAAGAGCGAGCTGCAGGAGGCAGGATGAAAGGTGAGGTGGAGGTGGCCTTGTGCTCTTCTGCAGATTTCAAATGCTGTGGAAGCAGGCTGGGAGCTGCCAGAAACAGACTCTGAAGAAGAAAATATTTTCAAACTTCGGATAGGAGAAAGAGGAGGAGAGAGAAAACCTTTTTAGAAATGGGGGGGGGGGAGCCACATGGAAGATGCAGTGGATATGATTTCTTTTTCTGACAAGCTGAGTGAGACACAGCTGAACAAAGACAAACCCATTTCTCTGGAATAAAAAATATCAGCAGGGGGTTGCTGAACAGAACCATTTTACCTTGGATGGATTGTATAGAGAGATGCTACATGTATTGTGATCTAGACACAAACTGCTCCCTAGAGCTTGAGGGATTTATTTTACCATCACAAAATAGAGAATTATGCTAACAAAGAACAATGTGAAGGGGAAGAGGAAATTTGGCTTCTTGTTCTATCTTGCTATAGTTTTGAGAAAAGTGACTATTGCTGCGTCATTTTGCTTAATCTAAGAGAGCTGATGTGCAGAAACATTGCACACTCGCCTTTTCCCCAAGCAGAGAGAAGTTCCAGGGATGGTGCTGATTCAGGGATCATGTCTTTCAGAAGGAGAGATCTCTGGAGACTTACAACATTTTCAGATATTTTCTTTACCATTATATAACCATCAGAAGAGGCAAACAGCTTAAGCCTTTCCAATCAGGAATCCCCTTATTATCAGATCCCCTGAGAGAGACAGCCAGCAGCCAAATAGGTTCATGAAGGTTTCGCTCTCTCCTTCTCAAAACACCAGCTTTGTTTTCAGTGGATAGAAAACTGGAGAGAGAGAGAGAGAGAGAGAGAGAGAGAGAGAGAGAGAGAGAGAAGCAGGGAGCAAGTTATACCCATGCTTCTTTTCAGTCAGTCAGAGAATCAGGTAAAAAAATGCAGTGGTTCTCCTAAATAGAGACAGAATGAGAAGGCTTTTGTGAGCTGCAAGAGGTGGTGGAATCCACATTCTACCCAAAGTTTCTCTATCTTAGTCTGCGCTACTTCTCTGAATCTCCAACCTACAGATATTACATTAAATTACCGTATTTTTCGCTTTATAGGACGCACCAGACCATAAGACACACCTAGTTTTTGGAGGAGGAAAACAAGAAAAAAATATTCTGAATCCCAGAAGCCAGAACAGCAAGAGGGATCACTGCGCAGCGAAAGCAGCAATCCCTCTTGCTGTTCTGGCTTCTGGGATAGCTGCGCAGCCAGTATTCACTCCATAAGACGCACACACATTTCCCCTTACTTTATAGGAGGGGAAAAGTGAGTCTTATAGAGCAAAAAATACGGTAATTATGAAAGTAATATCCATAAGTGTAAAGAATTTCTTCACTGCTACATTGTAAATGAATTAATTTCTAAGTACAGTGAGAAACCCAAAGTTCATAATATTAATGGAACTGATACTTTTGGCATATATGAAAGCAATAATCAGAGGAAATTTCCTTAACTCGTAGTTTTTACAACCTGTAGTGTACTTTCAGCCCATCAGCAGTAACTTCCTCAATCCCTGTGGCAGTTACTGCAGAAGGAATATGTATTTCACTTGTGCGTCTGATTATTTGACACAGCCTTCACAATGTCTCAGTTGGAAATACTATGAGCTACAAGTAAAACACACACACACACACACACACACACACGAGAGGTTCCCAAATGCAGAAAGCTGCAGATGAATTCAGAAGAATGAACACATAGTTTCTTTTCTTTAGCAAATCTGGAAATGCTGAATCAGTCACTAGTTTAAACTTGCACAACTTGTGACACACCGAAGCTCGCCAACTACATATTTTGCCTGTGTTTTTGAGGTTCCCAGCAGGATGCAAAAATAGAAAATCTATCAGTCCCCTTCAGTCCCCTGCTGGGCTGCTATAAATGGCTGGTGCACTGCATTCAGTTTGGGAGGGGGCGATCCGCAATCTGGGCAGGCCTGAAAGTGGGGAAGAAAAACCAATTGATGATGTATTTTCCACTTATAACTGCCTAGAGCCACTATGGAGCCCACTTGCATGTCATTCTGTTGCTCCTAATTTGACAAAAGTCAGCAATTCACCCCCAGAGGCTAAAATTCTTAGATAAGGATGCAAACTAACAAAAAACAAAAATCCATGGGAAAGCTAGGAAATTACAGGGCCCCCTAATGATAGTTACAGGAAAACTAGTGGAAAGCATAATTAAAGACAGTTAATTAAGCATTAACCACTTTGCCCTCCAGATATTTGTGGGACTACAACTCCCATCATCCTCCCATGTGGTAATGGGAGTTGGAGTCTAACAATATCTTGAAGGCACTATATTGCCCACCAGGATCTGAATGAAAAAGCCATTCTGGGAGCAGCCAGAGCACCCATACTTTGAGGAAGAATCAGCATGGCTTCTGCAAAGCCTTGCCAATTTGGGGGAGTTTTTGAGAGAGTCGGCTAACAGGTAGATAGAAGTGACCCAGTAGACACTGTATACGCAGACTCCCAAAAAGCTTTTGCAAAGTCTCTCGAGAGGGGCTCCTAAGTCTCTTATGTCATGGCTTATGAGGGCAGGTAGCTGGTTAAAGAGCAGCAAGCAGGAATAAATGCACAGTTCTTCTCTCAGTGAAAGCAGCAGGGTGCACCAAAGATCTGTAGTGGAGCTGGTACTTTTTAACTTACTCATAAATCATGTAGAGTCAAGGATAAGCAAGGAGGTGACAGAGTTTGGAAGTGACAAAATTATTTAGGGTTTGTTTTTTTTTACTGTTTCGTCACTTGTTGTTTGCTGCCCTGGGTTCCCATGGAAGGGCAGGATATGAATTAAACAAAGAAATAATAAAATTATGCATAAAATTACTGATGAAATTATGTTGAGAAAGTGTTAAGAATATACAATGTATGTGATGCCTGTGACTATGGGCTTATCCACACCTTCCTCTTGTCCCTCTGCTCTCCCCGCCCCCCAAGGAAAACCACACTTTAGCTCTCAATTGGAGCAAACTGCCATTCAAGTTTTCTCCAGATTGACAATCGCTCCAATTTTGCTCCAGTTTAGCATTAGCTCCAATTTAGCTCCAATTTAGCACTAAAGAGTGGTTTTTCCATGGGAAACAAGCGGGGCAAGGGGGAAATGGCTCTGACGCCTGCCTAGAAAGTGCAGATCAAGAGGAAAGGCACTTGGATCCATGCTTTCTAGGCTCAGGAAAGTGGAAACGTGGCTTGTACATGGCCCTATGTCTATGTACAAACACCCAATTTGTGTGACCTGGCCTCTCCTTTCCTAGTATGGAAGAAATCTGGAGGAGAGCAATCCCTGCAGAGGCTTGGGGAAAGGTTGACAACTATGGGAAACGGGGGGGGGGGTGCCGGAGGGATCTTTGCACCACGGCACTAGATATGCTTAAGATGGCCCTGGGAAGAACTATATGAATCTGGCATAAATATGTACAGTTATGTGTAGATCTATTTGTATACACAGCACTGGCACCACATGTTACCTCAGATACAGAGCATGGGTGCGTGTGCATATACAGTGGTGCCTCGCAAGACGAAATTAATCTGTTCCGCGAGTATCTTCGTCTAGCAGTTTTTTCTTCTTGCGAAGCAACCCTATTAGCGGATTAGCGGATTAGCGGTTTAGCGGCTATTAAAGGCTTAGCGGCTTAGCTGCTAAAAGGCTATTAAAGGCTTAGCGGCTTAGAAAAAGGGGGGGAGAGCGAAAAAAAATCTCAAGACTCGGCAAGACATTTTTGTTTTGCGAAGCAAGCCCATAGGGAAATTCGTCCTGCAAAGCGCATTGAAAAACGGAAAACCCTTTCGTCTAGCGGGTTTTCCATCTTGCGAGGCATTCGTCTTGCGGGGCACCACTGTACCCAAATCGCTTTGCTTGAACCAGCCTCCATGACATCTTTTCATGAAAAGCAAAGGCTAGCAGAACTATTTCCCTTATCCCAGTAGACATGTGTGTCCCAGATTTAAGTCTTTTTATCTCTCTCTTAATGTTGCTCTTAGCTTTCAGAGACTCACATTTCCCCCCTAGAAATCATCACCACCACACCAGCTCACATTCCTTTGCCTTTCAAGAAGGGGCAAAGATCACCCAAAATGTTGAGCTCAGTGTTCCAACATGCCATGAGTGGGACTTATTGTCCACTTCACTAATCTTTTTTATGGGACGAAACTGGATTGCTCTCAAGACACAGTGTTGTTTAGCAAAGGAAAGAGAGATATGGATTTAACTGTCCAGGGGTCACAATCAAGCCAAAAGGGAAACATTTTAGATCCATGTGATTAAAAGATCTGAAACAAATTCAAAATTTGGCAAATGTTCCACTACTGCAATTTAGCTTGTGAAATTGACAACAGAATGCACAGTCTCTCCCAGATTTTTCAGTTGAAGAAAAGCAGGACTGCGCCCAAAGTCTATAGTCCAGGGAACCTGTGGTCCTCCAAATGCTGAGAATTATAGGTCCCATCATCCCTGACCGTTGGTCCTGGAGGCTGCGACTGATGACAACTGGGGTCCAGCAACATTTAGGGAGTCATAGGTTCCCCATGCCTGCTATACTCATGTGTAAAGTTTTGTTAAACATTTTCCAAATGCCACTGAAAATGAGCTGCAAGCGTATCTGCTTACAATATACTTCCCCCAAGTATAATAATAAATATAACGCCAAACAGCCTACTTTGTTGACTACTCACTTGTTTGGTTTTATGATCCTAGAATCATAGAATAGAATCATAGAATCATAGAGTTGGAAGAGACCACAAGGGCCATCGAATCCAACCCCCTGCCAAGCAGAAACACCATCAGAGCACTCCTGACATATGGTTGTCAAGCCTCTGCTTAAAGACCTCCAAAGAAGGAGACTCCACCACACTCCTTGGCAGCAAATTCCACTGTCAAACAGCTCTTACTGTCAGGAAGTTCTTCCTAATGTTTAGGTGGAATCTTCTTTCTTGTAGTTCGGATCCATTGCTCCGTGTCCGCTTCTCTGGAGCAGCAGAAAACAACCTTTCTCCCTCTTCTATGTGACATCCTTTTATATATTTGAACATGGCTATCATATCACCCCTTAACCTCCTCTTCTCCAGGCTAAACATGCCCAGCTCCCTTAGCCGTTCCTCATAAGGCATCGTTTCCAGGCCTTTGACCATTTTGGTTGCCCTCCTCTGGACACGTTCCAGTTTGTCAGTGTCCTTCTTGAACTGTGGTGCCCAGAACTGGACACAGTACTCCAGGTGAGGTCTGACCAGAGCAGAATACAGTGGCACTATTACTTCCCTTGATCTAGATGCTATACTCCTATTGATGCGGCCCAGAATTGCATTGGCTATTTTAGCTGCCGTGTCACACTGTTGGCTCATGTCAAGTTCGTGGTCAACCAAGACTCCTAGATCCTTTTCACATGTACTGCTCTCAAGCCAGGTGTCACCCATCTTGTATTTGTGCCTCTCATTTTTGTGCCCAAGTGCAATACTTTACATTTCTCCCTGTTAAAATTCATCTTGTTTGTTTTGGCCCAGTTCTCTAATCTGTCAAGGTCGTTTTGAAGTGTGATCCTGTCCTCTGGGGTGTTAGCCACCCCTTCCAGTTTGGTGTCATCTGCAAATTTGATCAGGATGCCCTTGAGTCCATCATCCAAGTCGTTGATAAAGATGTTGAATAAGACCGGACCCAAGACAGAACCCTGTGGCACCCCATTAGTCACTCTTCTCCAGGATGAAGAGGAACCATTGATGAGCACCCTTTGGGTTCGGTCAGTCAGCCAGTTACAAATCCACTGAGTGGTAGCATAGTCAAGACCGCATTTTACCAGCTTCTTTACAAGAATATCATGGGGCACCTTGTCAAATGCCTTGCTGAAATCAAGGTAGGCTACATCCACTGTGTTCCCTTCATCTACCAGGCTTGTAATTTTGTCAAAAAACGAGATCAGGTTAGTCTGACATGACTTATTTTTCAGAAATCCATGCTGACTATTGGTGATCACAGCATTCCTTTCTAGGTGCTCACAGACTGGTTGCTTAATGATCTGCTCCAGAATCTTCCCTGGTATTGTAAACAGGACCATAAGTGGGGAAAGTGGGGTGAAGTTTATCAGTTCTTTTCTGCCCACTGCTTGGAAGGTTTTTCTTCACAGACCCAGACTAATAATACTTGGCAAAAGTTCACCCAAATCAACTGAAAAGCAGGCAAGTGGTTGGTTTTCTCCAGGAATATAAATTCACATAAGAAAAAGCTCTTTGATTCCAACTCCACTCTATATTCAGAAAATCCAATTTATCTTTCCAGATGGTGGGTGTTTTCCCCAGTATCTTTCTGGACCTGAGTGGGTGAGCTCTCTCTTTATTACCCTGCAGAGGCCTTTATTACCCTGGCATTCTGCATATCAGTAATCAGAAAAAGAAGCAAAAATGGCTTTAAAAATGTTTTTTTGGGGGAAAGGCAACAGATCAAAGAAAATCTACAGAAAGCGCCGTCTCAGGAAGGCAGAAGGGCAAGGCTAAATACTCCTGCACATTAATTAGCACTATCACAACATTTGATAATTAATTGTACTTTCTCCATGATAAATGTTACTGTGACTGAAAACTCAGTTCAAAGTGGATTACTAGTATCTCATAAGATGCCACATCTCAGTTGCGTCTGACCAACTAAAGCTCCAAAGCACAACTCAACATTTACTAAAAAAATAAGTTTTCAATGGGACTTGCTCCCTGTTAGGTGTGCATAAAAGTGGAGCCTCAGGGATAATTAGCAAATGCAAATTTTAATATTTTAAGGGAATGTTTGCATATTTATTGAGGTTCCTGTGCTCCTGTCCTAAGAGTATGAACAACAAAGTAGCAAACAAATATTTCCTAACATCTATCAGAATTTATTTAAACTAGAGTTTATCAGTTAATCTGACTCTATTCTTACCGTAATCAAGGCCATGAATTTCTTTCCCACTACTGGTACTGCAAAAGTGAAGAAAGTTGTATCAGATCACCCATTATATAGTCATACCTGGTATACATTTGAGCCCTGCCTAAAAATATCCCAAGCCCACATCTGCCCTCGCCTTCCAGGCGTTTTGCTCGTTTTTGCCCATATTGCTTACAATATGCCTACTTTTGTTAAATTTGCAATTATGTAAATCTTTTCATGTTGTAGCCTCACTGAGCATAGTTTTGGCTGTGGAAAGGCAGCATACAAATCAATTGATGATATGTACCTGACAACCCCGGACACGTCTTCATGCATCTCGATGAAGAAGAATCTAGACCTCAAAAGTGTGTGCCACAATAAATCTGCCAGCGTTTGCGTTGCCTCAAGACTCTCTTTGTTGTTTCATCTAACGGTGAGGAAAACTAAGATGTTGTTTATTAAGTTACCTTACATGTCCTTCAATAACTCATAAAGGCAGTGAAACTACAACTTGAGGTTGAATCCTGACAAGACAGAAGTACTGTTTCTGGGAGACAGGAGGCGGGCAGGTGTGGAGGACTCCCTGGTCCTGAATGGGGTAACTGTGCCTCTGAAGGATCAGGTGCGCAGCCTGGGAGTCATTTTGGACTCACAGCTGTCCATGGAGGTGCAGGTCAATTCTGTGTCCAGGGTAGCTGTTTACCAGCTCCATCTGGTACACAAGCTGAGACCCTATCTGCCTGCGGACTGCCTTGCCAGAGTGGTGCATGCTCTGGTTATCTCCCGCTTGGACTACTGCAATGCACTCTACATGGGGCTACCTTTGAAGGTGACCTGGAAACTACAACTAATCCAGAATGCGGCAGCCAGACTGGTGACTGGGAGCAGCCGCCAAGACCATATAACACCGGTCTTGAAAGACCTACACTGGCTCCCAGTACGTTTCCGAGCACAATTCAAAGTGTTGGTGCTGACCTTTAAAGCCCTAAACGGCCTCGGTCCAGTATACCTGAAGGACCGTCTCCACCCCCATCGTTTTACCCGGACACTGAGGTCCAGCACCGAGGGCCTTCTGGCAGTTCCCTCACTGCGAGAAGCCAAGTTACAGGGAACCAGGCAGAGGGCCTTCTCGGTAGTGGCGCCCTCCCTGTGGAACGCCCTCCCACCAGATGTCAAAGAGAAACAACAATTCCCAGACTTTTAGAAGACATCTGAAGGCAGCCCTGTTTAGGGAAGCTTTTAATGTTTGATGTATTGTAGTGTTTTAGTATTTTTTTGAAAGCCGCCCAGAGTGGCTGGGGAAGCCCAGCCAGATGGGCGGGGTATAAATAATAAATCATTTATTTATTTATTTATTTATTATTATTATTATTATTATTATTATTATTAATACAATGCAGCAGTTAGACTGGTTACTGGGAACAGCTGCCAGGATCATATAACCCCAGTCCTAAAGGATATTCACTGGCTCCCAGTACATTTCTGAACACTGTTCAAAGTGTTGGTGCTGACCTTTAAAGCCCTAAATGGCCTTTACCCATTATACCTGAAGGAGCGTCTTCACCCCCATCGTCCAGTCTGGACACTGAGGTCCAGCACCGAGGGCCTTCTGGCAGTTCCCTCCCTGCGAGAAGTGAGGTTGCAGGGAACCAGGCAGAGGGCCTTCTCGGTCGTGGTGTCCTCCCTGTGGAACGCCCTCCCATCAAATGTCAAGGAGGTAAAGAATTACACAAATTTTAGAAGACATCTGAAGGCAGCCCTGTATTGGGAAGTTTTTAATGTTTATGTTTTACTATGTAAGCTGCCCAGAGTGGCTGGGGGAACCCAGCTGGATGGATGGGATATAAATAATAAAATTGTTGTTGTTGTTGTCATCGTCAGGCTGAGGGTGGGAGGAGGTGCTAGGGTGCTCTAATGTGCCCATGGGCACACAGTAACAATTTCAAGGGAGGTGGGTTGTATGCAAGGCAGATGCTCTACCTAAGCTCCATTTAGGTTCTGGGAGTAGCACATTTATTTCAGTTTAAACAATGAGAATGATGGAAGATGGTTATTCAACTGTAAATTATTTGTCCTGGCTTTTCGTATTGTTTTTTATGTCTTCAGGCTGTTCCAAACATTATATATTATATATATATATATATATATATATATATATATATGGTTTGATACATAAATAGAAAATATATGCACAATGCATCTGCTGTGTGTGATGAAGTGTGAGTCCCATACAAGCAGCAGACTTACAGTATTCAAGTCAATTTACACTCATTGGCTCACCCATAGAAGTGTCTTGGCAGGACTGGAGCCCAGGAAAGAAAAGCCTCCAGCAAATGGAGAAGGAAGTGCAGGAGACAGAGAAGGATGGAGACCAGAGGCTCATCCAAGGCAGCCTCTGAATTTAGGTGTCACTAACTTGGGCCAGTATTTCCATTTTATGTTTCAATAATGCTTTGATGCCATCATAACACTGGAGAAGGCCATGAAAGAAACATCCTGTTCTTAAAGGTTAAATCCTGAGAGGGCAAAAGATAAGCATTGATGAGACTCAACAGTGTTCCCACAAGGAATCACGAGGCCAGCTTAACAGATATGTGATGCAGATGGCATCCGATTCATGCCAGGCAAATGCCAGATTCACCATCCAAGAGAATCACTAAATTCTGATCCCCAGACAAATTTCCAAGGCATCCAACTTAATTAAGTTCACTAACTCAAGCAATCTTTGCTTTATGGTGCCATTAAGAGCCTCAGATCTGTTCATTCCACTCACATAGCACAACACAACAGGGATAACAAAGAAAGATCAAACAGGAAAATAAGCAAGAACAGGAAAAAATGCAGTATGAAGCATCGGCGGCAAACATTTGCAGCCATTCACGATCAAAGGAATAAAGAATAAAGACAGTTCCCCTCATCTGAAAGAGAGCATTTTCAACATACAACCATGTCCTATATCCTGTTGTGTTTAGGCAGGACAGAAAAGACTGCATGGAAGATGGCACAGTGGAGCTTGGGAGTCACCTCTTTCATTGTATCTGAATGCCATAGGCAAACGCTTCTTCCAGCCTCAGTGCACCCGACCACCCGCTTGGAATGCAATGTAAGGAGAGAGAGAAACAACTCCAGGAGCTAGTCTTGTCCAGGGAAGATCAGCAAGCAAAGATTTACAAGTGCAAGAATCCCAAAGCTTTAGGAATTCTGCTTCAGCCTTTTGAAAAGCGTGGTTCTGAAAGATTGGCCGTGGAGAGAACGTCCCTTGGAGGCTCCTCTCCTTGTCTCTTTCTCTCAGAGCAGCAAACAATGTTGAGTTAGCAGGACATGGTGTTGGCCTCATCCAGAGCTCACCTAGACTTCCTTTTTGTGCCACATTTCCCAGGCACAGATCGGCACTTTAAAGCTCTGTGTCCGAGTGCTGCTGTTCATGTCCTGGCGCTTTCCCACATTTTACTGCTGATTCGGAGCAAATCGCGATCTGCAGAAAACCTGTTTGCTCCAATTCATCAGTAAAAGGCAGGATTTTCCAGGGGAAGCACTGGGACAAAAAAAGAAAAAACACTACTTGAACATGGAGTTCTAAAGCCCAGACCTGCGCATAGAAACACGACACAGAAGGAAGTCCGGGGGCTTCGCCATACTTACCTTTAGGCCCACTCTTTCCAGGCATGGTCTGTATTTAAAAGCTCTGTGTCCAAGCATTTTGTGTGCCTGGCACTTTCCCCATGAAAAGCCACTCTTTGGTGCCCAATCAGAGCAAACATCCATTTGAGTTTTCTGTGGATTGCCATTTGCTCCAATTCAACTTTAAAGAACAGGTTTTCATGGGGAAAGCTCCAGAGCAAAAAGAGGGGTGCTCCGACACAGAGCTTTAAAGCACAGACCATGCCTGGAAAAAGTGGAGGAAGGGGAAGTGTGGATGAGCCCGGGAGGAGCCGATTGTTACATCACATATTTCTTTTGCTACATGTTGCAGAAGAGAAAGGAAACACAGTAGTGGCAGCTGTTCCTCTGGTCCTCTCTTACAGTGCATGGAGAAAGTGCTCTATAAGGTAAAAGGCTAACCCCAGACACCACCTTTTGCTGTAAAGCAAGTGGACATGACTTGAAGTCGGCTACTTTAACTGTCCCCCTCTGGCTGCTTTCCCCCTCCAACACTTCCCCTAACCCAACCAAGGAACCCAGAACTATTTGCTCCATTGACTAAGGAAAAATAGTTGAGAGGAGTGCAAGGGAAAATGGCAGGTGGGAAGAGGGTTAAGCACAGCTATCCCATTGGCTGATGGTCAGTCAAGACCTATAAAGCCCTATACATAAAGCCCCTTGTACACCAAGGAAGGATTAAACTGAGAGCACATGCACTGTTATTGCTATCTAAACCTGAAACCCATTGACAGGCCATGGGGATTATAGGAATGTAAAAAAAGAAAGACAGAAATTAGACCTCACAAGCAGAACATCAGCCTGCCGGACAGCATGGATCTGTGCCCTAATGAAAGCCAGGATCTGACCACATAAGTCAGCAAAACCTGCTTCAAATTTTTATTCTCAGGGTTGATTATTTTCATATTACAGCCTCCTTTTTTCATTAAAAAAAATTCTTTTAAGTGGACCACCCTTGGGTTAAAGAAATGGATGCAATATGAGAAAGAGAGAATGATTCCTCTGAGAATAACCTGTCCTTCTCCTCACCTGCAACCTCTCCAATAAAAGCCCACGAAACAGTCAATAAATAAATGTCAGCGTCACCTTTTCAAACAAAGGCTTGCCAAGACAAAAAGCCAACACCATTCTGCTTTTGAATGAGCACAGATCATCAATCCCACCTGCAATGAAGCCTCTTTCCCAATGTGTCACTGAAGGAATCAAGATAAATATCATTAAATACCACCATCCTTTTTCCTCAAGGCAAACCCCAGAGACATAAGAGACGTCCATTCAGAATTAATCCGCTGTGTGGAGTAAGAAGCAGCAGGAGCTTTGAGAAAGGAGATTCAATAGCAACGCCAGGGATGGGGGACACAAGGAGATGAAAAGGGTACCCAAGGCCCTTCAAATCCAGCAACTTGCTTGCAAAACTGGGCAAGCAAATGCCTTCAAGGAGTCCAAGGCAGGCATGAAGGCAACACACACACAACCCTCTCCTGCTGCTTGTCTGCCCTGTGAAGCGTCCAGAGGGGATCAAGCCTCTGACTAGGAAGCTTCCATTTAGCTGTCAGGGGGTCGTGGCTGCAGGCAGACCAGGTGTTCGTCTCATCTCTCTTTAAAAAGGTATCTAAGCCAGCAGCCATGCTGGGGAGGTGAATTCCAGGAATTCATTATCCTTGGTTTGAATGAGCCTTTCCTTTTGCCCAGTCTGAGCATATCATTCATCCATTTCATTTGATGAGCCCAAGCACTAGTATTAAAGAGCATGTAATATACACCCATAAGGACAGTAATTAAAATATTTTTTTATTCTGCAGTGCTGTTCAACCCCTCTTTCTCCCTCTGAAATAATTAAGCATGTTTTCAAAAGGATACATTAAAATGTCAGCAATCTGCTTGCTCAGAGGCTTACAAAGCAACCCTAACCATGTCTGCCCCGAAGTCCTGTTGAATTCAGTGGGACTTACTCTCAGGCAAGTAGGGTTAGGATGGCAGCCTTGGTGGGGCGGTAGATTAGGCACAATAACCCCATTACAATTACAATTCCTCGTTGCACATATATGCCAACAACCTACAAATGGATGGATCTGTCCATTTCAGTTTCTTTTAGCAAGCAGCTCAAACCTCTTTACACACCAAGCTTCTCAGGTAGACTGAGGGAGAGCAAAGGCTTGGTTTCCTGGTCTTTCCTAAGGTGAGCTAAACCTGGCATATTAATATGCATATTAAGTATACTTAAGCATGTTGCTTCGATGAGGTTGGCTACCCCACATTTTCATGATTAAAATGAGCCACAGAGGCTGGATTAGAAGGAACAAACTTTGCTTACCAGTGTGCTGCTCCCAGCTACAGTATATACAAAACTGAAACTAGTTAATTCTTGTTAGCTTCCATTCCCCCTCCCCAGTACAAGCATTTCTCAATGACTTTGGTTCCTGCTCACATTGCTATCCTTGTACTGGCTGCATTGAACTGGTGGGCTTCATTTGTTACTCTAGCTCAGGGGTGGTGGGGAGCCTGGGGCTTTCCAGACATAGCTAGACTCCAACTTTTATCATCGCCACCCAGCATGCCCAGTGTTCAGGGCAATGGATTCCTCCCCCTTGCTTTAGTTGTGCAAAAGCTGCCCCAGAGATGATCCTTCCTGTGCTTTGTGCCTTCCCAAGTTTCTAGAGGCCTGAGGCCTAGGTTTCTAGACCCTTGAATGGGACACATGGCAGCCAGATGCAAAAAAGGGCAGAGCTCCTGAAGCAATTTTAATAGTTATATACGGTAAATGGTGGGATTCCAGCATGAACTTGGAAGATGTCAACAGTTATAGGCTGTAGGAGGAGATCTGGGAGACCAAATGGGAAGGTGGGACAGAACACCTGCACGGGTTATGTAGAAGTGGGAAGTTCAGCAAAAGATGCTAAATTTCTCACTCTCCAAGTTGACCTCCATGCATTATGTAAGGCGACAAGATGAAAACGGGAGAGAACTATTTGGGTAGAAGTTGAAATGTTGACAGTTTGCTGTGTGGGGGTGAGAACAGCTTCACCTGATGAAATTCCCTTTTTTGCCCAACTAGTAAGGAAGGAGACTTGCCCCCCATCGTTACATGCCAAGCTGCCACAATAACTTCTTTTACACAGCTGTTAAAAGGTATGGGAATCCCAAGGTCCTTTTTATCAGCTCACACCTAACAAATCTCCTATGCATCAAGTCAGCCTTTCCTCCTTTTACCATGCACATGAAGGTCCACAACCTCTCACTTTAGACATGCAAGTCCCTTTAAAATATGAAATAAAATTATTATTAGATAACAGAATGAAGTACCTTGGCATCACAACTGCAGCCTGTCCCCAGATTCAGAAAGCAGAGGCTTCTTTCCAGGGCAGGGAGCTTTCCCCACCCCATCAATTCTCGCTGTTTGCAATAAAATGAACTTTTATTGTTTAACCCTTCACAGTTTATTGCTTCTGGTGGAACCACCTGGTGCCAATAGTGGCATAGCAACTAACGACAAATGACAAACTAATTTTGCTTGGTGGTTAAGAGACTACAGATAGGTGTGAACTCAAAGGTATCTTTCATTTAATGCACCAAGACCATCCACAGGCAGTAGTGATGGGCTGATACTTTTCAGAATTGCAACAGGGGAAATTAACCCTTTCCTCTACCGTTGAGGAACGCCCCTCCTCTGTCACTGCTCTTTGAGATGGAAGAAATTTTCTCAGTGGCACCAGACCAGACCCACTTGCCTTTGCTCCCTCTGTAGCTTCCCGAAGACTTCCCCCATCACTTTATTTGCATAGCAGTAAAAAGTGCCACCTGTCATTGTGTATCAAGTTTCCATTTAAAGTTATGCTAGACTACCCCCCCAAAAAAAACTATATCCTCCCTCCCATTTTCACAAGAACATTCATCTCTATCAAAAAGGGGATGAGGAATTCATTGGGGGTGAGGAGTTTACCATTAAGACAAGGCAGCAGAGTGTTTGGAGTTATTTTCTCTCCCCCCCCCCAGCCTTGCTACCTGGCAGCGTGGCACAAAGCAGCTTGCAGGTGTCCTTCAGTCCTATAAAATGCAATGCTATGTTCATGGTGGACGTCATATTGTTCCCAATGAGGCATTTTATATGACTGAAGAATGCTGCTGATTTGAATGGGGAGACAAGGAACTTTACAGCTAAGGTGGCCTGGTATAAGAGAGGACAGAAGCTCTCTTCCTTTAATGGCTGTGTAGAAGTGCAGATTTCAGCAGGTCTGCCCTGCCATACAAAATGCACCTGATGAAATTCCTTCTCCTCCTCACCTGTTTAAGGTGCAGGAACATAGTCCTCTTTTTCACTCGGCCACTCTATTTTTAACCTTTCTCTGCCTTGTCTTGATGGCAAATCCCTTATTGAAAATGATGCTGATTTTGTAATCGGCCCGAAAGCGCTGCCCTCGTTTTGCCCCTTCCAACTTGGAGCAGGGAGATATGAGTTTGTGTCCCGGTGGCCTTGGGCCAGTGGTTCCGTCTCAGCCTAACAAACCTCACAGGACGGTTGTGAGGCTAAGGCAGAGGGAGAGCAAGAATCAGGTGCGTGGCCTCAAGTTCCTTGGAGGAAAGCTGTGAGAGAAACACAACAAACACAGCTGACAACTTGCATATTCAATGCCCATTTCCCTCATTTGTATTCATGCCTCTCATCATCCTATCTGGGAGGTGGAAATTCACTTTGAGAGGTGTTGGATTGTTTTACTGAATATTCACAGCAATTTATTTGCAGAAGAGTAAGTTCCCTCTGGCTTTTACCTTATTCAGGGTTGATCAATGGCAATTGCAGTTCCTCCAAGGTCATGCCATTCAGAAGTTTGCTATTCCACTGATGTCTACACAACATGCACTCCAATAGGCAATGAAAAGGGGATTGCCAGTCAGCTCCTAGGAGATGAGGCTATTGTTTTCAATCTATAGCCATTGAGGCAGTTGCCAGTCTTGTATTTTGTTATGAGAGAAACCTGGAGAGGAGGGGAGACAAGGCAATAATTGCTTCAGGTCATGGACAGCAGGTCAGACAACTAAGCACAGGTGAGGCCTGGCTCCTGCTGAAGGTGACAAAGTTGCCCATCAACCAGATAAAAATACTTGGGCTGCTCCTGTGCCTTCAGCACCACCCTCATATTCAGGAATTCTTCAGTGATTTTTTTGATATTATAAAAATAATCTGATGGTCTGCAGAACAGGTTGCTGAAATGGAGCACACGCTAGTAAAAAGGTGGCAGTCTTCTTAGGCAAATCCCAAGGAATTCAAAGGCTGCAACCCAAGCTTCCCAGCTTTGCATTTAACAAGGCACATCCACCAAGATAGGTTGCCATCTTACGCCTGCACCTTCCCAAGTCCCATCCATTGGTAGGCAGAGGGGGGCGGGCTGTGTGGGAATGTTCAGGGATGCAGGAGAGGATATATTGTGAGATTATATCCTTATCCAACTTGTGCTAACAAGTTCCCAAAATATCAGCAGAGTTAAAGACATTCCCCTTTTAAGTTCGCAACGGTAACGTGTGCACAGGTTCGCTAGAACCTCTATAATAATTACTCTGGTAATTTCCCCTTTGTTCCCTCTTAAAATACAAGACATGACACAGTCTTTATAAAAGTATAAAAGAGTTTACTCACATTCTGTTCACAATATGATCCCAGAAGGCAGACAGGCTTAAAAAGGTAAATTACATTTAGAATCTATCTTATAGGAAGATAGTCCCTTTCTGCTCTCTTGGCTGGGAGCCAAGAGGGCATCCTTAGATGTTGCTTCCTCGAAGGAAGAGGGCAGAGAGGCAAGAGAGCAAGAGAGAGATGGCTGTGCTGCCCTGTGCTTTTATCATTACCTGCACAGGTGAGGCCACACCCACCTCTGGTCACATGCGGAGGAAGTCTGTCCCAGGAAGTTTACCTGCTGGCTGGACAGACATCCCTCCCCATGTTTAAACATGTACACTCTAGGAATGTTGTAATTGACTGCTCCTGTGTTTTACATCCCACAGGCTGAAATCCAGCTTGATTCAGCATCTGGGGAAGAGAAATGGGTCAAAAATATTGGTAACTGCATATCATTGATTGATTGATTGATTGATTGATTGATTGCCAGCCCTTCACCCTAAGGTCCTAATAAAACATAATACTAAAAACAATTTAAAACCACAAAGCTATTGTGGCTTCTGCAATTAACACCATCAAATACCCACCAAAATAAAACAAGGAAATAAAAAATAAAATTGAGGGGTGGGGAACACATGGAATTTCATCATGTGTACTCCTCAAACCCCCACTCCTGCCGCTTTTGAGCCCATGCCTCAAACAAACCTTGAAATGATAATAACCATTATTCCATTTTGCTTCCAGGTGAATCTGCTTGCCAAGCTTATTTCTGCAAGCTGTTTACAGCTGAAGGACGATGGGTACAGGAGCCAGCTGCAACGGAGGGGAGGTCTCTTGACAGCCTCTTTAACAGTTATAATAGAGGTTTGTTTTCAGCAGCAAGCAACAGGTGTTGAAATCCCCTCTCCTACACCACCATTAAAAGTGCCAAAGCCCTGTGTGTCCTCTCTTGCAGCTGGCCACCTTAACTGGCAACACTGGCCTGTCATTAAGAGCAGGAAGAACTCACAGGTGCTTGAAGACTGCACAATAAGATAGGGCTACTGAGAGTCACAGGGTTCCCTTTTGCTTTGGAATACAATATTTCTCCTTGTTCAGCTGATGGCAAACCTGGGAGTTTGGGCTTTCTAATCCAAAGAAAACAAAGGTCCTATCGGGGCGGGGCAGCCCATTTTGCCACCTGAGGTGAAACAAGAAGATGCTGCCCCGTGGTTGCCATGCCAACGCCAACGCCTTCCTTGTCTGGGTCGCCTGGCAGCACCGGTGAAGCAGTCACAGCAATGGCAGGTTCCAGCAAGATCTTGTGAGATCTCCATGGACTCTTTCCAGATCTTGTCAGCAGCTCCCACTGCTGCCACTTCTCCACCAGCTGCAGGGGCAGCAATGTGCGCAGGGCACTTCCTTGGGCACTGCCTCTTGGGGTTTGCCAACCCCACAGCCTGCCTCAGGGACGTGTTGGCCCTGGGTCCTATTCATGCATTTATATGCTACTCTCATGTGCAGGCATGAGCAGGGCCATATTTCTGTCCCCAGTGTTATACCACCTCCACCCCCAATCTTTGATTGCTGGGGTATATGAGAAAAGAATAATTTACCGAAAGGGTCTCAATGGGGATGCATCACTGGGAGGAATTGCAAAAAGTGTGGGACTGCTCCCACTTCTACATGATCCAGCTTGTGGTTCCAGAATTGGCCTCTATGGTCATTGTTAAGACCATGTTCATGGAAGACAATCTTACTTGGCTACAAGTGATCACCAAAGAAGTAAGAAGATGATACCTTCCTCAGAGCTGAATGGAATATATTTTCCTTGTGTGGAGTTTTGTTTTTGTTTTGTTGGGTTGTGGCTACACCAGTTATGATTGACATGTGCAAAGGACCCCAATGTGGTATTAAAGGCGGAAAGCTTTGCATATGGCCAAGAAAATCTGATTGGCTTTGAAAGCAACCCTTCAAGGCAGAGTCATTTTACAGTAGCAAATGAATTATGAGCATGACATGCCAGTGAACTGGATGCAGCGACAGCAGGTCACCCAGGTGAGAGGACCTTGTGCCCCAGGATCAAAAAATAGAAGGCAGGAAGAAGGGGAAAGCACTATTACAGATGCTGTCAAGCCAAGGAATGTGGCTCTAAAGAGAAAACAGCAGCCTTGGAAGCCATGAGAGGCTGGCCGCAGTTGGGAAGTGGTGCATTATTTTGCTAGGAAAACTCAAATGCCAATGGTCCAGAAAGAAAGAAAGAAAGAAAGAAAGAAAGAAAGAAAGAAAGAAATCACTACCTGATTTACAAAATTACCATCTTAATATAAAGTGCAACATATCCCCAGAAGAGGCTAAGAGATTTCAAGTAGCAGGAGGGGGTGGGGTGAAGACCACTTGCTTTGACGGAGGAAGAAATGTATAATTATTGTCACTTCTTCTCTTTCTGCTTGTTCCAGATCAGGGGTCAGCAACCTTTTTCAGCCGTGGGCCGGTCCACCATCCCTCAGACCATGTGGTGGGCCAGACTATATTTTTTTTTGGGGGGGGGGGGAAATATGAAGGAATTCTTATGCCCCACAAATAACCTAGCTGCCTTTTTCCACAAGGTGTTGAAATGTCAGACATTATTGTTAATGAATTTTTGTAAATCACATATAGAGTTGTTTAGTTTGTGATTTCTCTCTGTGTGTTCCTTGGGCATGTTATTTCACCTAGAGAGCAACAATGGAACTGGAACCCTGGGTTTTGAGGGAAATCTGTGGCTGGGAAGACCCCTCTCTACAGCTTCCCCATCCACTTTGAAAAGTGCCGTCCCCTGGTAATTCTCAGCTGTTCATATGTGACACAAGTCTCCAGACATAGGTCTCTGCTCTACATCCAGATCCCAGCCTACATGGTCAGATGAGAATATATCAGAGGGCACATTAATGCAACATATAAAATATACACATTTCAAATACCCACATTTGACATAGAATGACGCACGTGAATGAACCATGTTCCAAATCAGTCAGGTGGCCCTAGGAATCAGTCCATGAAAACTATTTTCCAAGCTATTCGTCTCCCATGACAGCCCAGTCTTCCATGTTTTACTCCACTTGACCTTGAGCCACTATACAAGAAAATGTAAGTGACCCAAGTCATTACACTGCAGCCTCAGCCTGGTGACAGAGAGCTAAAATCCCCAAGAGGCAGATGCCACAAAACTCTAATGAATAGTTTATCCCCTCATTACACTTGGAAAAGCCAAAGGATTATAAAGCCGCAAAGCTGAGGAACCAGCACTCACGTTTTACAAGTATCTGGGTAAATCTCCTTTGTAACTTGATCTGCATATTATCCTATTAACAGAAGTAACTGGAATTTAATAATTTAATGGAAATAGAATGCCAGTGTCATTGAGTCTCCTGCTGCAAGAGTCACCATGAGACAAAATTTAATATAGTAAAGCTTCCTCCACAAAACTGGAGCCCTCACTGCAAAACAATTGTGGAGATGGTAATACTCTTACAAGGGTGTAGGAAAGAAAGTGTCAATCGTGCATTTGCTGGACATAGCCAGTATTTGGCCCTCACAAACAGCGTCCGGGTGGAAATCGCTGAAGTGTCTGAGAAAATCCCATGTTAGAAGTGTAGTTCAACAACTTGGCAACCCTACCCTAAACCTCATTACGTTGTAAGTTTATCAGGTACTGTTATTATAATTTTATATTCATGGAGCATGTAACTATTATGTAACTGCCAAACACTGGCTGGATGCAGAGAGTGGTGGGATGTACCAGCCAGGGAACCCCCTAGGGGAAGAAGGCTGAGAGCCAGGGGATTGGAGGGAGGAGGAGGAGGATGAGTGGTCAGAGGGAGAAGAGGGAGCAGACTGTGAGGAGGAGCTGTCAGAAGCTGGAGAGGCAACAGTGAGCAGGAAGAGTCTTTGGCAGAGTGCAGTTCAGACTCTGAGGCTGAAGCAGAGAAGGGTCAAGAGGCAGAGTGCGAAACAGGCTGCTGAAGAGTCCAGGGAGTCTCTCCCTCCTGCTGCGACCAGCTTCCCTCCCCCCCCCCCGTGGCCTCCAAGAACACACAGAGAAATGAAAAGAACAGAACAGAGATTAGTCATGCACAGACACAGTTTGAGACTGCGTAGGGAAAACCCAGGCGAGGAGGAACCTTAGACAGGGATGGGAAGGCAAGGACCTTCAGTCTTCAAAACTGTGCCATCAGGACAAGACCTCCTAAGAATAGTTTCTGAGACCACCAGGTCTGAGCTGTGGTTGTTTCCTGGAATAAAGATTTAACTTCACTGTCCTCGGGTGATTTATTGTTTTTTGTTGCTGATCTGCACCTGACTCAAGCCCTAAGAGTGACATAACATTGCAATGTAACATAAACCAACTCCTAGGTTCTTTCTATTAATACACTATCCACTATATGTATTGTTGATGGGTTAAATTGCTTTAGGATGTTTCATGGGCATATATATAATGCCAGCAACCATTTTGCGCATGCCCAATTGATGTGCAACTGATGATCCACTTGGACCCAGAAGAGGGCAGAATGGGGGTGGAACAGGGGTGGGGAATAATGAGGGGTAGAACGGGGCATAACAGCACAGGGCAGGCTTTTGAGTGCTCCACTAGCGTGCATGCAGGAACCAAGAACAGAACCCCCGTGCAAAATGGTCACTGTCTGTATATATATTCCTATATACATAAAAATGTAAGGTGTCATTACACTCTGCAGTAGGCTTGGCCGGCAATGGGCAGCCACACCAACTGCAGCATGAGGAATGGCAGGCAGGCCCAGGAAAGCTGTTGAACAGGGTGGGGGAGGGCCTTCAAACAGTGATTTATAGCAAGCCACTGTGTGGAGCGCACATGCGTGCGCACACACACACACACACACACACCCCGCCTCTGTTAAATATGCTGGCAGCAAGGTTTCATTGGAGAAAAGCAAATACATTTATTTGTTTGTAATTCCTACATGTGTTACTTTAAACCACTAGAAGGCACTATTTGTGTAGGTATCTAGCCAGCATTTGTTTGTAGCTCTCTGTCTAAGTTAAATCCACCCCTAAAAGCTGAGCCATTTTTTTCCTGTTATCTCCCAACTCGTTGAGACAAGACATCTGCTGTTTCTCTCTCTCTCATCTCCACACATTGTGTAAATAGTTCCTGCATGAATAAACTCCAGAAAGTGTAAGTGATTGTTCCAATCTAATTCATCTAAGCTAATTCACAGAGGGGAGGCTCATGTGGGAATTAGAATGCAGTTACCTTCCAAATCCAATGTGTATCAGAGAGGGTCCACTATTCCATCTATCCAAGTATTGGCTGGTTGGAGGGGAAGGGAGAGAAAGAGAGAGCACCAGGATCCCATCCTTCTCTGGACCTTTGTACCATCAGATTACTTGCTCCCTCTAAGGAGGCCTGTCACTGACATATTAATATGAGTAAGCAGGCCAGTAAGCAGTCTAGTAAAAGCAATTTGTGGACTAGTAACCTTTGGTAGATATATTTGTGAAGATATGAGGGAACATCCATACATGTTCACTGCATGAAAACCGATGAGTTAAAAACACAGTGGAGTGACATATGCCATGTTAAAAAATGAACATGTGAATCCAGCAACCGACTTGGGAAGATATAAGCAAAACCTCCTAATGGTGTTAGAATAAAGGCTTTTGCTTTGGCGACAAATAAAGGTTTTATCTGAACACAGAAAGCTTTTCTGTGATGTCACTGGAAGACAAAAGCTCTATATAATCTTCACAAAACAGATGGAAAGGTTTGCCATGGAAAACAACCCTGGGTTAAAAGGAAAGACGGAAAAGAGACAGCCATTGCCAATTTAAAGATCAGCTGATTTTTAGATGAGATTAGAAGCAGCAGAAGAGCTTAGAGCAGTGACAATTCCAGCCAGAGCAATAAGAGAAGTCTTTTCAACTTCTTTTATGTTTCAAACAAGATTGAAAAGCCAGTTATGTCTGATCTCATTATAACAAGCTGGCGAAGACAGCGGGATTGTCAGATTAAAGAACTGCCGTCCCAGAGACGAAAGATACAATGAGATATAGAATCTCTCTCTTTCACTGCAATGAAAAAGTATGTGCCCTTGCATGCACTTCCTATCTCACTGCATTGTGAAGAGCGCCATTGACCCGAATATCCCCCAGTGGCTGGGGAATGGAGGAGGCAAAATAAAGGGCTAGGGACAGTGAGGTGAGGTTGTGCATTCCCACAGATGCACATGAGAGGGGGAGGAACAGCATCAGTGCCCCCTTGAGCAAGTGGTGCTGCGTTCCCCAGGATGGCCGTGGTGAGATCAGGAGAGCTTCAGGTGGACAGCTATGTGCACACCTGCAGAATGCTGCAGCCAACCTAAAGGTTTCCTGACATTGTGTCTGCCCCTACCCTCCCTGTCAAAGAGTAAACTGGCAGTGAATCACACCATTCAAGTGGGAGTTAACTCGTTATTAGCTTCATTGGCTTCATTGACTGAGTGTCAGGTCTAATGAGCACGGCTTCCCAGGCTTTTACCTCTGACCACACATTGTTGTCCCACCAGCACTCCACGGGCTCTGAGCCTTCTTCCCTGGTTCCCCAACTAGTTCTTCCCACCATTCCTCTGCATCCAACCAGTCCAAGTCCAAGTCCAAGGCCAAGGATAAGACATAAAATACTTACAGATGTAAAAGAAAGAGGCGGGTTTGCCCTCCCAGACCTTAAATTGTATTACGAATCTGCTTGTTTGGTATGGATCAGGGACTGGATGAGATTGGACAAGCAAGAGGCATTAGAACTAGAAGGACATGACAACAGATTTGGATGGCATGCATATTTATGGTACGGGAAAGGGAAGATTCATAGAAGCTTTTACAACCATATAATCAGGAAATCATTAATGAGAGTATGGGAGAGATATAAAGACTTATTGGAACAAAAGACTCCGTGGTGGCTTTCACCACATGAAGCATTACTGCTCAAACCACTTGGAAAGAAAGGAAAATGGCTCACATATGCTGATTTATTAAAAGACCATGATGGAAAATGGAAATTAAGAGATTATGATGAGATCAAAGACACGTTCAGAGTTGGTTGCATTATCGACAATTACATGAAACATATAAAGAAGACTGTAAGAAAGGATTTAGTTATACTAGATCTAGGTTTCAAACGGAAGTGATTGAAGGGAAAGTGAAACTACTGAATGGGAAACTATTAGAATGGGAGACGAAAGATGAAGAGGTAAAATCAGTTGATTAAATGGGCACAAGATGTAGGTCACAACATTATGATGGAGGATTGGGTTAAATTATGGAAAACTGACTTAAAATTTACAGATTGTTCCCTATTGAAGGAGAACTACATGAAGATGATGTACAGATGGTACACAACACCAGTGCAGTTAGGGAAAATGTACAAAACTAGTTCAAATATATGTTGGAAGTGTAAGGAAAAGGAGGGAACATTTTATCATATGTGGTGGGATTGTAAAGTAATTTTAAAAATTTGGGAAATGATATACAACGAACTGAAGAAAATGTTCCATTTAACATTTGTTTAAAAACCCGAGGCATTTTTGTTGGGGATTGTAGGGAAAGACCTGCCAAAAAAGTTGAAAAACATCTTCATGTATGTGACAACGGCTGCGAGAGTTCTGGTAGCACAAGGATGGAAGACTGAAGAAATCCCAACTAAAGAATCATGGCAAGAAAAATTGATGAATTATGCAGAACTGGCAAAATTGACACATAAGCTACGGGACAAGAATAACTGTGACTTTAAGGATGAATGGGAACCTTTCACAAAGTATTTGAAGACGCAACAAAGCGAACTGGACTCCCTGGCAGGTTTTGAATAAACATCCACAATTCTTTTTACAGATAATAATTAGCTAAACAGTTGGAGGATCTATACAACTCTGTAACATGCAGAAAATAGCATTATTGGAGAAACCAAAGACTGGAACTGAGGGAAGTCGGGGGGTGGGGTGGGGGATGGGTTTTGTGGGGGAGGGGGAGGAAAAATGGGGGGAAATAAGGATATGTTTTTGGAAAATATGTTTTGTTATAACTTTGAATAATTTTTTTTTTAAAAAAACAACCAGTCCATGCCACTATCCCCTTTCTGGTGAACATGGAACCACCTGCCACTGGAGTACGCCACATCTACATGCACTGGGCCCCTGCAAAAGCAGAGCAGCAGCAGCACTGTGACTTGGAAGAAAGCACTTACGAAGGACAGAGGCAATGCGAGAGAGTCCTTGATGTTCATCTCCCCACCCTTCTAGGCTAAGGGGGTCCAGAAAGGGCATCTTCCCCAAAGTTCCCCAAATCCTGGAGTCATCCCTGAAAGTACAGGTCATGGGGGGGGTGAAAGGAACACCCGTGTGACCGCATGATCCTAATGTTCATATTTTCCATTTTCAGAGAAGAAGAGATCTAAAAATATTTTAACTTATGCAGGATGTTTTTTAAAAAAAACAAAAACAAACCAAGATTAAAGTCTATAAACTCCTCTCCTTGAAAATCATATTTAATTATAGATTTCTAGTTTAATATCAAGAAAATCAAACAGTAGGATGAAACAATTTACAACTTTTGTACACTATGCTCCCATTTCACTTATGTCTTACATTTAAAACAATGGAAACTCAACAAAGTATATTACAAAGTGAAGAACGATAAATAATTCAAAGATTCCAGTTGTAAACTGGTTACCACACAGGATGCTAAGAATAGTTATTGGAAGAGTTTTTGAAGAAATAAACTGTGCTGGGGAAAAATAAAGAATAAGGCAAGAGGAGCAACTGATTCTTCGAATAAGAAAGAAGCCGAAGCTGGAAGACGCCTTGGCTCAAAGACCACAAGAGAAGCTGACTGGACAACAGCTAGCGATTAAGAGATCAAACAAGACAGCTAAATCTTATAATTTATTGAAACAAAGGCTTTAGACTTTGGCAATAAGCCACATAAATTGTTATTATCATTAAAACAAAAGAATATATTAATCCCTCCAATAGAAAATCATGCCAAGGTGGCAGAAAGCATTGTCAAAGAGTTTCCATCTCATTACACATATTTATTTATTTACTTATTAAATCACACACTTCTGACAATCCAAATGTAGGAGCAATTGAAAGGCGTTTCATTATCTATGCCTAAATTTGCTCATGGGGATATTTAAAACCCTAGATGAAATAAATTAAGTTTTAAAGGAGACAATAAATAAATAAATCTTCATGCATACACATTAAATAATTGTAAGGTAGGACAGTATTGCCCTGATACTTCAGTTGGAGGGTTTGCCTAACACAAATTTGTGGAAGAGGCCACACTCCAGGGTCTGGCTGCTTTGTACCTCAGCCTCAACGTTACTGTAGTGCACCAGATATTATATGAGAAGGCTTTTCTCCCTGTTCCAATGTTACAGAAAACTCACGCGGCAGTGAGGGGGGATAGAGCCTTCTCTGCGGTGTCCCCTATTGTGGAACGCCCTTTCCCCACAAGTATCACTGGTGCCAATGCTGTTATCATCTATCTATCTATCTATCTATCTATCTATCTATCTATCTATCTATCCAGGCAATTTAAGTTGGTTGTTGTTCAACCTGCTCTCTTGTTTTTAGCTGTATCTGTTACTTCTGAATGATGTGTTTCTTTTTTTATTATGCATTTCATAATTTATGTTCTTTTTGCCACCCTGGTACCCGTGCAGATGAACAGTTGGCCTATAAATATTTAAACAAATACATCACTTCCTGCGATCCCCTAGACAGGCATGCAGCCCTGGGGGTCATCACTGTTTGGTGGCTTTTCTTTTGGCTAGTATGGTTCCTTCCAACTAGTTATTCAGGCCAATTGAACAGAAGCTGAAAGAAATACTGAGGCCCTAATGACCACTGTAAGTTTGATTTCACATGAACTGGCATCTTCTGAGAACGTGCCAAGGATAACCCTTGCTGAAATGCTACAAAGTATGGCAGAAACTTGCCTTTTGATACTGGTGCAATTTCCCTGGACTGCAAACTGAGTAGATGCCAACAATGTGATTGACAATCCCCCTGAATCATGAAAGGCAAACAAGCTTTATTTTGGTCTATGATTTCCAGGGGAAATTAATTGCATGGGCTCTCTACGGATGACCACACACACACAATTCTGCACCAAGCTAACATCAGTTTTGCAGTATTTTTTAACAGCCATGTGGAACATTAGCAAACCGAATGGCGAGCCTGTTCCTATCTTCCAGGAGTGGACAATATGGTGGTGCAACACCTGACCTCCCTGCAGCTGGAGAAAGCCTCTGATATGAAGAAGGAGCACTTTCATTCTCCTTCCTCTTTGTATTCTGCCACTGCCAAAAGTCGAGCCGGCAGATCTGCAACTTCATTGGCCCGCACTGAATCATTGCTCCTCTCCAAGAGGGGAGGACTCACCTGGACTTCCCCGCTCCCTTATCCATCCCTGCGAGTTTGATGCACATCACCATACCGCTGTGCCAACCCTGACAGCTATCTCCCTATCAATGCGATTTCATTGTAGCCTAGTTCATGAATTCACCTGCATTTCACCATTTCATCAAGTTGGGGAATTCATAAGGGTTTGGTTACCGACTCTGCCGAAAACTCCTCTATCTCTTGGGCAATCTCTACTTGCCACCCACTGTTGGGAGCGAGTCAGCAGTAAATCACACTGTGCAAGTTGGAGTTAACTCTTTACAGTGGTACCTCTGGTTGCGAACGGGATCTGTTCCGGAGGCCCGTTCGCAACATGAAAAGCCCACAACCTGAAACGTCATATCAGTGTAGGGGTGCAGCACGATTTGGCGCTTCTGTGCATGCGCGAGTGGCGAAACCCGGAAGTAACCCTTTCCGGTACTTCCTGGTCGCCGCGGGACACAACCTGAAAAAACGTAACATGAAGCAAACGTAACATGAGGTATGACTGTATTAGCAAAAACACTCACTAAGCCCTGTTCCCCCTTCAGCTTCCAACACCTCCGCTTCTTAGTGTCCCAGCACCAGGGCCAGATTTAGATGAAGAGAGGCCCTAGGCTACTCCACTTGTGAGGCCCCTCCCAACCCCCCACCCTCACGACTAGAAGAAAATGGAAGAGTGTTATCAACAAAATTGAATGGAGATGGGTATTTAAAATTCTGCAATTCACAATTTCTCCTCTAAAGGACATCAGAAAACTTCATCAAAATTTGTTTACAAACTTGCACAAGAACTCAATAACAGGTCTGATTTCTGAAGGGCTTTGCTGACCTTGTGAAAATGACCTAGCACACGGATTTATATCTCTAAGATTCTGCAGATTTTGGCTGTGAACTAGGGCCCCACAAAAACAAAAAAAAACCAAGTTGGGCCCTAGAGTTTCAAATTGGGCCCCACTGGCTGGCCCTGAGTCTCACAGTTGCTGGGTCTGAGTTGCCCTGCCCTCGCATGAAGTCTTGGGTTTGCAATTTTGGGACAGGGGAGATTGCCCGCTGTTTAGGGCTGGGGAGCTGGGGAGGCCCCCTAGAGGCCCTAGGCTTCAGCCTACTTAGCCTATACATAAATCCGGCACTGCCAGCACCACTCCCCGGGCTCTAAGCCTTCTTTGATTGGTGGTTGCCTCTCTGGTTCCTCCCACCATTCGCCTGTGTCCAACCAGTCCATGACACCCACTAAACGTTGTTAATGAACATAATGATGGTAAATAAATTAAAGCGGGGAAATCATCATATAATTTTCAGTCACAACACTGGACCAAATAAAGCATTACCTTCCTCATCACCAGTAAAAAGTATTTGGGGGCAATGGGGTGATTTTATTGCTGTAAATACATTCCATTTATCTCCACTGTTGCTCCACCAACCCCTGCAATTTATCACTTGTATTTCTCAGGTGCTTGACAGGTGGGAACAATTCATGAGGGAAATTTTAATGTCTCTCCTGCTGAAGATTTCACATTGTATGTGCAAATCCTACTTGCCCTTCAGCCTGTCGGTCTGCTCTCCCAGCCATAAGCAATTCCACAGCTCTCAAGAGCACCATCTAGAATTGTGCATGCATATAAATAAGAGGATAAGAAAAGCTGTACTCAGCAAATCCCTCAAGCCTGCATTATCTGTTAATTCTTGCTTTTCTCATTGGACAATACAAAAATGTAATTTAGGAGGTCCATTTATCTCTCCATTATAAAGGGAGTCTCAAGACATCAATCTGATGCCTATTTGTTCCTGAGAATATGAGCGAGTAGTCATTGCGAGATGGAATAAAGATGAGGCAACCAGATGTCGAAGGCTGAATAAGTCATGTTGGCAGGGCGGGGGGAATTCAGAGAGGACCAACAACATTATTTAAAGATGTGGAGGTGCTCAATATGGTGGACTGGGTATGAGAGTCATTTCGAGAATTATCAATTAGCATTTAATGCACATAGCAGAAGGTCAAAACAAACATTTTTTTTCAGCTGACTGAACATGAAAACCATACACAAATATATATCCATGCTGCACAAAATTCCCAAATCTAGTGAATGTTAACATTTGCCTGTGAGCACCAAGAATCCCAAGCAAATATTGTGAATGGCCAAGATCTCAGAGGTCCTCCTCTTTCCCTCTCTCCATAGGGATCCACTATGGATCTATGGGGACTTCTACTTTGTCCCATACTGTCAATAAGTGACCTCACCAAATCCCAAGGCTTTCTAATACCATCTGTCTGCTCATGATGTATTAATTAATTTTATAATGAATGATTTTAGAGTGTTGTTTGTGCTGTAATTTTGTACTGTTTTATTGTTGTTAGCTTCGGCTGGGGAGGGCGGGATATAAATAAAATTTATTATTATTATTATTATTATTATTATTATTATCCCTTCATTTCTACTCCAGGACTTTTTCTTTCCCCTGATTCCACAACTCCCATTGCCAGCCTGATAGCCTGCTTAAATATTCCATTGACATTTCAAACTCAATATGCCCGATACCATACATTGTTCCTTCTCAATAATATCCATTGACAAGGTCCATCCCACCGAATGAATGAAACATTGAAAGAATAAAGAGTTGGCATAATCTTTTACTCCTCTCTCTCCTTTGCTTTCCATAGGAGGAACATCACCCGGCTATTGTTTTATTGATTTATTGATGTAATATGCTGTAAACTGCTTTGAGGTTTTTATTAAAAATATAAAGTGGTATAGAAATTTAAAAAATAAATAAATAAAAATGTTCATTCCATCACCAAGTCATGTCACTTCTTTTATAACATTGCAACTATATAGCCTTGCCTTGGCAGCCTCCCCAGAAGAATAAAGGGTCTACCCTATAGCACACACAAAAAGTGACAGATTTCTTCCCCTCCTTTTTTTTTTTTTTTACAGTCTTCCCCCTCACATTTTACCAGAAACCTCATCCAAACATGTCTGGAGGACCACGGGGGTCTCTACACTTTAGTGTTACATCACTATTACATCAGAGTTTCCTGCAAAGAACTGAGTTATGGAAGATGCCTGCAGCCTGAAATATTTAGGTTACAGCATTTATATGCTGCCTTTTGCATCTTGGCAGGCCCCACCATGACAAAATGTAAACTTGAAAACACAGAATACAGAAACTGCACTTGAGGAGCAGTCCTAGGCATGTTTACTCAGAAATCCAACCGCATTGTGTCCCCAGTAAATTTATTTAGGACTGTAGTCTAAAAAGCAGAGAACAATATAAAAAGGTGGTGTTTAACTGTTTTATTCAGAGTAGACCTAAGTTAGGTGTGTTCATTAATTTTAATGGGTCGAACTCTGAGTAAAACATAATTGACTACCACCCAAAGAAACCAGATAAAACAGTAAGACCAGCAAGTGAAATCCAAATAAAACAGCCGGTGAAGGCAGCAAATATTAGGTGAGCAAATATTCAGGGAACTATTATCACTCAAGATAACCCAGACTCCTGGAGTATTTAAGGGATGTCAACTCCATTTGAAACATTCACTTTGGTAAAGACTGATGTGACCATACAAACAAGATTTGCCTTTGAAGATAAGAAGTGGCTTTGGAAAACTCACTGCCCCTCAGTTTAACATCCTATCTCTTAGGATTGTTGTGACATTAAGAAGGGTGGAGGAAAATATAACAAATAAAGAATCTGCCCTATTAAACATATTTAGTACTAGTTTCAAACCTTTCTTATCTTAGCTTCAACATAAAAAAAAAGGACTTGAATGTACTTGTCTATAAAGTGGGACTGCAGGGAGATCTAGAACTGAAGCCAATACAGTTACACTAGTACAAAACTTACACAACAAGGTCCATGATGCAACGATTCTCTCTAGGGGGTTAAATCCAACACTTGCAGGTGGGACATCAGCAGGCTGGCAGAAATACTTACTTTCTAAATTAAGTATCAAGCCAGCTTAGAAGTTGTGCTCTCTTCCCCTATAGGCCTTCCCACTAAAGACCAACTCATGTGTTGCCATAGTAACATGGCAGCTGCCAAAAAATACTTCCACATTTTCATATCTCTGTATTGCAGCAGTAGTGTATGGTAATCCTCAGGGTCAAACTAGATGACATGTGAATATGCATTTCTTTTTTTCCCCTGGAAAATAAAAGCAACTAGGATCTGAACTGTGGTGTGCATCCTCTTCCCCAGCCACGGTCCCAGTTAAAATCTCCTCCTCGTTCCTGGAGTGTTGCTCCCTTTGAAAAAGAGGCTTCCATGGACATCAGTGGCAAGAGGGCAAAGAGCAGCTTCAAGGGACCTTTCCTTTGGTGGGCAGAGATAACCCTTCAACTACACACCATGGTTCTGATCCTAGAATCCTAGAATCCTAGAGTTGGAAGAGACCACAAGGGCCATCGAATCCAACCCCCTGCCAAGCAGGAAACACCATCAGAGCACTCCTGACATATGGTTGTCAAGCCTCTGCTTAAAGACCTCCAAAGGAGGAGACTCCACCACACTCCTTGGCAGCAAATTCCACTGTCGAACAGCTCTTACTGTCAGGAAGTTCTTCCTAATGTTTAGGTGGAATCTTCTTTCTTGTAGTTTGGATCCATTGCTCCGTGTCCGCTTCTCTGGAGCAGCAGAAAACAACCTTTCTCCCTCCTCTATGTGACATCCTTTGATATATTTGAACATGGCTATCATATCACCCCTTAACCTCCTCTTCTCCAGGCTAAACATGCCCAGCTCCCTTAGCCGTTCCTCATAAGGCATCGCTCCTAATTGCCTCCTTGTTTTTCAAGCAGAAACAAAACACACTGAATGCATGCCCACATTAAATATATAAGCTAGTTTGCCATCTAGAGCTGGAACTTAGGGAGAACCCCATGAATCCTCTAGTCCAGCCCGCTGCAATGCAGGAGTCACAGCTAAAGGATCTGAATGGTGTCCCTCAATTGCATGTAGTACTGGCTGGATCATAGGCTGTTCCCAAGTTTTGTCTCCATGCAAGGAGCCCCCTGGAAGGCTGCACCACATGGAACCCTCAGCAGGCAGAAATGGCTTTTCAGCTGTAGACTTTGTCTATGAACTGGGCTCAGTCCCAGCCATTGTAATCACACTGGGGAAAGGTACTTAGCAGACTCTGTTGCAATAGATGGTTGGGTGCTTCCATCAGACATGTTCTTTGCACATTAGAATATTAATGCTGTTGTGGGAGGGAGCTGGGAATCTGCAACTTTGGGGAAGAAGGTCTGCAACACTCAACAGCTGAGAAGACAGGCGTGTCTTTGTATTTATAAAACAGCTTTCTCGTGGATTGCTGCTTTATTACACTTTGCACAAGGACATCTGCTGCTGTCAGCTGCTCTTACTCCCTCTGCAATAGCCTGTGCTGCTCTGGCAATCAGAGGCCGGCTATGTTAGGAAACTGGCCATAACAGCCCATTTCTGAAAACTGAAGAATATCAGAGAACACAATGGATCTGGTTGTGGTATTATAAAACATCTTTAAATTCTAGTAAATTTACCATCATTTAACCAGGACGGCTGCAGAACAGAAAGCTGGGGAAAGTGACCTCTAATTCACATTTGCACACAATAACAAAAAGATTTTAAAGCATCTCCAAAATAGGAACAGTGGTTTACCAGAGGCAGGTACCAGGAAGAAATGGGAAGGACAGTGACTGATGGAACATATGCTTTGCATGCAGAAGACCCCAGGTTCAAGCCCTATAAAAGCCAAGTATTTTCTTTTTTTAAGAGGGGAGAGGATTTTTGGTAGCATAGCTAAGGAAGGCCCATTTTGACCTCTCAGAGTAGACCAGGGGTGGGAACCCCATGGCCTTCGTCAGCCTGGTGATCTCCAGCACTTTTGAACAGCCAGCACAACCTGATGGTGGTGGTGGTGGTGATGGGAGCTGTAGTCCAAAACCACAGGTGAGCACCGAGTTGTTCTAGCATATGTTTATTGGGCTGGAGCTTCCATCATTCCCATCCAGCATGACCACTGGACAGAGATGAGGGAAGCTGCAGTCTAAACTCAGATTAAAGCCTGATGATTGTGAAGAATTCTCCTTTACATGTGACTGTGATAGGCTGGCAGCAGCAGCGGCTCCACTCCAGGAAGGATTACACACGTTGTTTTTCATCTTGACACCAGCTCTGCCTCGCACCCTTTTAAGCACCTTGCCTTCCCCTTGGTTGATTAGGCGTGCTCACTGTGAACGGCTTTCCCAGTTGGTTCCTTTATTAGTCTCAGCATGTCTGGATAACAGGAGCACAGCGGGGAACAAAGAAGCAGGCTTAGAAGAGCTTAGCACCGAGTCAGGCACCTTTTAGAGCTCCAGAGCAAAACAAAACTGTTCTACAGTACCATCTAGTGACCAGAAAAGGTGCATATTGATAAGTCAGCTTTTAGACCGCATTGCCATTTCCTTTTGCACTAACATCATCGTAGATGAAAACAACAAAGTTATATCTACATTGTAAACCTCACATTGGTGCTATAAGAGTTTAACTGTGATACCTTCCTCCAAAGAATACTGGGAACTTAATTTTGGAGGGAGTGCTGAGAAATCAGTTATCTTGAGCTCATTTTGTGGTACTACTATTCCCATGGTCCCAAGTGAATGTGAAGTCTGTTATGTAAGATATGCCCAAAGATGCTTGTAGCACTTTACATCCATTGTCACTCAAACCTCCTTCATGGGATGCACAGCTTAAAAAAGACTTTTGGCAGATTTTGCCCTTAGACAGATTGAATGGCATAGCGTTTTATGTGAGATCTCATGCAACCCCTGATAAACTTCAGGGTGCTTTGGAGATGGGCAGCCCACTAGCGGAGGAAGAGGGGTGCAGGGGGAGTGCACCACCCCCGGCAGCGCAATCCCAGTGGGGTGCCATCGCAGCTGCCCCCCTGCCCACGCTGGGCATCACGCCCCCGGGACACGTGCTATGCCCCTGCAGGCAGTGTGCCACGCCCCTGGGACACACATCAGCCACACACCCCACCTGCTCTCCGCCACTGGGGCAATCAGTGGGCCACGGCTTTCAAACCAATGTTATCTATTTCTATTCCATGTGTGTTTCCTGGAGCAGATGGGTCCTTGAGAGCCTCCACCCGGGCACTGACCCAACTCAGAATCTGTTTAGCTTCAGTAGGTTTGTTGGTGCCTTCAAGTGAGGCATTGTGATTTTGTCCTCTCCTCTGTACCCCACAAATTTGAACATAAACCATTAGTTACTTTATCCATTGACTTCCTGTCCTCCCCTTCCACATATGAAAAAATGTTCCTTCTGTCAGTTTACACTTCCAATGCATACTTTACTTAGTTTTACTTATTTTGGCTAATTTATTTGGTGTTTAAAAAACATCTATAAATCATCTTCTTGTTTCCCCACTGTTGGGACCACGGCTGCTACTTACTTATTACAATAAGGTAAAGGTAAAGGACACCTGACAGTTAAGTCCAGTCGCAAACAACTCTGCGGTTGCAGCACTCATCTCGCTTTACTGGATGAGGGAGCCGACGTTTGTCTGCAGACAGTTTCCCCGGGTCTTTGGCTAGCATGACTAAGCCGCTTCTGGTGCAATGGAACACTGAAACCAGAGCAGCGCACGAAAACACCTTTTACTTTCCCACGGAGCAGTACCTATTTATCTACACTTTGGCGTGCTTTCGAACTGCTAGGTTGGCAGGAGCAGGGACCAAGCAATGGGTCTACTTACTGTAGTATATGGTATTTAGGAGAGGAGAGTTAGCATTTGAACCGTGTGTCAGGAAAATCCCTGGATCAAATCTCACCTCAGCAGTGATCCCTTTAGCTCAGGAGTGGAGAACCCTTCTTTGCCTCCAGATATTGCAGTTCTGTAACATCTGGAGGGTCCACAGTTTCCCCAGTCTTCTCTAGGTAAGCCACCTTCTCTCAGCCTCAAACCCCCACCTCAGCTACAATATGTTGGCAATGCTTTGTTAGATGATTGTTTTAAGGATTATTGAGATTATATATGTCTTTGAACTATACAACAGAATGAACATGAACATGCATTTTCAGACCAAAGAAAGATGTGCATTCCCAGGCACAATTTAGCCAGATACTAACTTTCTGTACATGGGACGCGGGTGGCACTGTGGGTTAAACCACAGAGCCTAGGACTTGCTGATCAGAAGGTCAGCGGTTCGAATCCCTGTGATGGGGTGAGCTCCGGTTGCTTGGACCCTGCTCCCGCCAACCTAGCAGTTTGAAAGCACGTCAAAGTGCAAGTAGATCAATAGATACCGCTCAGACGGGAAGGTAAACGGCGTTTCCGTGCGCTGTTCTGATTTGCCAGAAGCGGCTTAGTCATGCTGGCCACATGACCCAGAAGCTGTACACCGACTCCCTCGCCCAATAAAGCGAGATGAGCGCCACAACCCCAGAGTCGGCCACGACTGGACCTAATGGTCAGGGGTCCCTTTACCTTTACTAACTTTCTGTACAGTTCAGCTGTAGTTTTAAAATAACTTCTAAAACTCAGATCTTTAAGGAAAAGTTTATTGCATATTCCTCTGACACAGAAAAGTGTCACAGAATGGTGGGCTGGGTGTAACATTTTATGGGCAAGCAGGCCCAACACAACTCAGTCACACTCTCCCCCATAGAGAAATGTGCATAGAAACAAAGAAGTTCTTATGAAGGCATCGCTGAAGAGGCTTGGCTTTGGATTCTCAGCTGTCAAGGCACTGAGCAAAAGGAGATTATAGCCCTATTCAGGCATTCAGTGTCATTGTGTGAGAACGGGAGGTGGCGGTTCAGTTCAGTTTGCATCTTAAATTTGCATCTGAAATGATACGATAATTGAAACACAGGGAGGTTTCAAAATTCACACTTCAATTTTGTGATGCAGGCCCCCCCCCAAAATTTTTTTTTGCAGATATTGGGGCAAGGGATGCATAATAGTGAATATATTAGTGAAAACAACATACAAAAATGCATCCCATTAGGATAAATCGCTTGTAAAAATGTGTTGCATTAGTCAAAATTGCATACAAAAATGTGTTCACCACAAGAAATTCACACAAAAATACATACTGGCCAATTCTGACACTGATTTCTTGTTTAAGAGAATTGCTGCAGAAATGTAGAGAACTGAATTCAAGATTGGAAAAATGAGAAACGGAGAGAACCCAAACGGACAGGTCCATCCATCCCTAGCACTGCAGAGTTCTAACTGTGCAAGGATTTAACACCTACATGTAGCCACTGGGAGCGGGCATTAGCTTTGACGCAAGCACTGGTGGAGGAAGAGGGGTGCAGGGGCAGCACACCACCCCTGGCAGCGTGATCCCGGTGTGGTGCCATCGCAGCTCCCCCCCCCCCCGTGCTGGGCATCGCACCCCCGAGACACAGCGCCACACCCCCGGGACATGCATCGGCTCCGGCCTCGCCTGCTCTTCGCCCCCCGGTGCCGGAGCATGAAGCTCCACTACTGGAGGCAAGGGGTCATCAGTATGCTGCGGTTATTCAACTTTATTTCTCTGTAACATGTGAATCAGGAATGGCTGGGAAGGCCCTGAACGAAATGGTGGGCTGGATGAGAACTAATAAACTCAGTCTAAATCCTGGCAAGATGGATGCTCCAAAGATGAGTGATTCCGGCAAGTCGGTTAGTTTCCAGCCCTGGATACAGCTGCACTCTCCCTGCAGAGTTTGGGGTTGCTCCTAGGTCCAGCTCTGCCAACAGAGGCACAGGGGGCACAGGGGCTAGGAGTGCCTTTTACCAACCTTTATTGGGAAGACAGCTACAGCCGTTTCTGGATCGGGATAACCTGACTACCCTCTCCATGCATTGTAACCTCCTGGTTGGAGTACTGCAATGCATGCTATGTGGGGCTACCCTTGAGGGTGGTCCAGAGGCTGCAGCTGCTGCAGAATGCAATAGCTGGGCTCCTTCTGGGGGCAAAGTGCTGCCAGCATGTAGCACCTTGCGTGCAGGATCTGCACCGGATCTGCCACCAGGTCAAGTTCAAGGTCTTGGAACTAACACAGAAGACACAGCTCAGGACCATGTTACCAGATATACTCAGGTCACTGTGGTCTGCGGCAGAGCCGTCTTTCCCACTGGTCTTAGTGGTTCATTGTGCCAGGGCGCCGGCCTCTCAGGGGTGCCCCAGCAAGTGGGGGAGCTGCACAGCTTTGCCTGCAGCCTCCCCTTTCCCTGCAAGCCCGCCAGCTGCACCCCGTCAACTATATGGCTGGCAGGCGTGCAGCTTCCCTCCCAATCCTCTGCATCTGCTGAAGACGGCTCTGCTCCCCGTCGTCGTCCTCCTGCTTCCTGGCAAAAGGTGGTGCACAGCCTTCCCAGGCTGCCTTCTCTGGCGCTCCAACGCCAGAGAGCAGGTCCGCCAGCACATTTTCCTGCTTGATCGGGGCGGTGGGGGAGGCAGAGGACATTTTCCACTGCCCCCTCCCTTGTTTTGGAGTTGCCGGGATGGCACCGGAGGGATCTTTGCACCACGGCACCAGATATGCTTAAGACGGCCCTGGTCTGTGGGATAACACCTCCTGCAAGAGCCAAAGGTCTCAGAAGCCTGTTCCACAGTAACAGCGTGGCTGCTTGCCTTGTGGAATAGCATTCCTCTCAAGCTACACTCAATATCTGCACTTTCCAGAAACAACTGAAGGCATTTCTGTCCTGACAAGCTTTCCCAGCCAGATGAATGGGTCTCTGCCACGGGTGTCTATTCTGTATACAAATATCCTGTCGCATAAAGAAAAGTCTGCAGTTGCAGCCAGCTGGGGAAGTGGCCCAGCAAGAATAAATGTCTGTTTCCACTGAGCAGTAACATCAACGCCCTTTCCTTGACTGGCCAGCAGTGCCCTGCACCGACTGCTAACATTTTTGGCTCCTGCTTCTTACAAGCAACCTCAAATCAAGATGTCACATGTAGTCTAAACTAATGTATTTTTAAACAAATGCCCTTGTGGCCTTGAAATATCAGCTGGCCAAATCCAATTTTGAGTTCATCATTATTCACAAGTGTCGCTGAATAGAAGTGATTACTTATATTGCCAAGTATGTCCTTGCAGTTAGGCAAGTAGATTTCATCCCAAGAGCATCAAATGCTATTGTTGAATGTTTAGAGTGGCTGAAAGGTCTTCTGCTTAATGCATATTGGAAAAGTATCAGGTCTCTCTGATGCAACCCTGAGAACAAAGCACATTTTCCTGACTGTAAAATTTCCTTAGGCTTAAAGTGTTTCAATTCCATATTTTTATTATTAAAGTTAGAATAAATTAATCAAACATATTAAAATGCCCTTGTTGCATTCACTGCTGCTTCTCAAAAAGAGAAAATCTGTCAACAGTACATTTCATACAGTTCAGCTTAATTTTTGTCATAATGTTTAAGGGTTATCACTGCCTTTTGTTGTTGTTTTCCCCCAAATTTTTGCTTTTGCTGAAGTATTTTTAGTAACTTGATGTGTGCTAGATTTAGCGAACAAACTTGCCAGGGCACTCTGTTCTTTTCCCAGCTGCAGTCAAGCAAAACCTGTTGCACCGTCTGTTCAGTGTGAAATGGAAGACATCAGTCAGAGCTGGAGTCTAAACTCCTAGTGTGCTGTTTGCCTGGTCTGTTCTTTTCTTAATTTTAGCAATCTTGGAAGAAAAGTAGGAGTCAAGAGATTTATCAAAATACACATACCTCAGCAATCTCGTTAGAAATGTCAGTAAACTAAAGTAGGCAGCCTAATTCCTTTTGGTAGATCTTTTAAAAAACATTGTTGTTGTTGTTGTTGTTGTTGTTGTTGTTGTTGTTGTTGTAGCCTTATTGGAGTTCACCGATTGGGTCTGTGTTGCTCCTGGACGGGAGGAAGGAAGTCAAATGACGCCGAGGTTGGTTCAAAGAAAGAGTTTATTCTGCTCTTCGGATAGCAGAAGGCACTTGTGTGGTGAGTCCACAGCAAGTCCAAAGAAATGAGACATTTCATGCAGTATATATATCCTCCAGGAACCCTCTCCCTCGTTCCCCAGGAATCCAACCACGTCAGCCTATACACGCAGGTTGACATCACAGATGTTCCTGCTCCGGCACTCTTAACCATAAAAGGGATTTCCTTCCTGCACTCCTGACCATAAAAGGATATTCCTGCTCAGAAACCCATCCCTTCATTATTATTCCTTCATTATTATTATTATTATTAAAAAAGACATACAAGTAAACAATTTATACCCTCTTCTGAAGTGGATTTGCTGTGACAGCCAGGAAAATAAAATCTGAAAATGTTATAAGACACAATCCTTCTGTTGCAGAGAAATATTTCTAGTGGCAGCCAGGAACATATACCCTTTTAGAAAATGCAAGCCATGCTGCAATCATTTCATTTTTAATGCATCTGCTCTCTACTGTGTTCATGGTCAAAATGCTGTAGTTGGAAGTAGGCAAACTACCAAACCCCACGTGCACAGGAAGCTGATTAAGAATACCACTCTAATTGGTGGAAATGCCACATTTTTGTCCTCAGAGGTTATGGCTCTGATTGATCTTTGCGTATATGTAGCTTGTCTGCCAAAGAAGCAGATGGATACTGTCCGTAGGGCTGTGCTATAAATCGATATATCGTCTGATACCGGGTTTTAGATCAAATCGTGATAACCGTTTTTTACAAAATGACTTTGCAATTTATCGCATCTCATGTGTGTGGTATTAAAAAATCACAATTTTGGAAAAACCAGAAAACTGATGCTTCTTCCTATCCGTTCAGCCCTTGCTAACTCCACCTCAGCTAGCTCTTCCCCACCTCCTGCAGCAAGAAATAGCTACAAATCACCGATTCAAAAATCGCCCAGCAGAGCTTTGAGAACCGGTTAGCTCTCTGTCTCCCCGGCCATCCAGCCTGCAAGCAGGGACTTCTTCCCTCCAGGCTCTTGCGTAAAGGCGCCAGGCTGGGACGTGTGTGTACTGCTTGTGGGCGCCCAAGTGTGTACGTGTGTCTCCCTCTTCCCTCCCGTTGGTGGGGTGTCTGGTGTGTTTGTTTTTGTGAAGAAGCAGCCACCAGCCGACAAAAAACACTCAGGTTTTCAACGACCCAGCCGACACCACATTTTTTTCTGTAAGCTGCAGTTGGCCCCTTGTTAAAACTACAGTGATACCTCAGGTTACATACGCTTCAGGTTACAGACTCCGCTAACCCAGAAATAGTACCTTGGGTTAAGAACTTTGCTTCAGGATGAGAACAGAAATCGTGTGGCTGCAGTGGGAGGCCCCATTAGCTAAAGTGGTGCTTCAGGTTAAGAACAGTTTCAGGTTAAGTACGGTCCTCTGGAACAAATTAAGTACTTAACCCGAGGTACCACTGTATACTGCTTGTGTGTGGGTGTGATTGTGTCTCCCTGACTCCCTCTCCCCTCTGCTCCCCAGGTGATGCTTCGTTTGGAGCCATGTCACCAGGGCAAGGAACTTTCCTGGAGGGGTGCAGAGCTGTTAAGAGAGGCTTCTTTAGCTCCATTTCTTTATCCCCCTGTTTCTTTAGCTCAGTCTGCCCTGAAGTGCTTTGATTGCGTTCTGTGTGTGTGTGTGTGTGTGTGTGTGTGTGTGTGTGTGATTGTGGCTTGCAAGTTGCTTCAGAATAAAAGGGGCGAATCACCCAGTGTTCGTTGTGTGTGCCTTTCTTTGGGGCAGAAGCAGCCCACAGGAGGCTGCCAACCCCATGTTAACTCTGTGAGCGGCCGCCGAGACCACATAACACCAGTCTTGAAAGACCTACATTGGCTCCCAATACATTTCCGAGCACAATTCAAAGTGTTGGTGCTGACCATTAAAGCCCTAAACGGCCTCAGTCCTGTATACCTGAAGGAGCGTTTCCACCCTGGCGGTTCCCTCATTGCGAGAAGCCAAATTGCAGAGAACCAGGCAGAGGGCCTTCACAGTGGTGGCGCCCACCCTGTTTAACGCCCTCCCACCAGATGTCAAAGAGATCTACCTAACTACCTAACATTTAGAAGACATCTGAAGGCAGCCCTGGGAATATTTTTATGTGTGACATTTTAATGTATTTTTAATCTTTGTTGGAAGCCGCCCAGAGTGGCTGGGGAGACCCAGCCAGATGAACGGGGTACAAATAATAAAATTAGTATTAGTATTATAATTATTATAATTATTATTATTATTATTATTATACTGTGAGCCTTCAGCTCTCCCCTCCCCAGCCATAAGCAGGAGGGAAATACACTCTTGAGATGTTTGTTGGCTTGCAAGTTGCTTCAGAGTAAAAGGGGAGAACCCCCCCCCCTGCTGTGCCCTTTGAGCCTCTTCTGTCTCCCCCCACCTCCTTATGCTGCCCATTTTCTCCTAGATGGCCATGCCAGGAGTGGACATTGATGGATGCCCCCTGACGTGGGGGGGGGAGCACATGAGGCATCCTTCCCAATGTTGAAGGGGCTTGCAAAGAAGTTTTTGGCTATCCCAGGAACAAATGTGCCATTTGAAAGTGTGTTCAGCTCGGCTGGCAATGCTCTTCAAATACAAAGCGCATCTCTATTGCCAGAGAATGCCAAAATGCAGTTTTTCCTTGCGAAAAATATAAATTTCATTTTATAATTTTTGTTCTGTAAAAAGTTCAGTAAGTGATGCCTGATTGGCAAGGATGATCCATTCAGCAAAGAAAAAGAAGAAGAAGCCAAAGGAAACAATGGCACCAATCACGGTTTTTAAAAGGTGAAGATTTGCCAGGAATGAATGAATGAATGAATAAATATATATATATACTGTATTTTTCGGTGTATAAGACTAGGTTTTTTATTTAAAATTAAGTAATGCTAAAAAGTGGGGGTCGTCTTATACACGGGGGCAATCTCCCCCAATTTTCTCTATTTGGAGTCCCAAAAAAGAGGGGGTGTCTTATATACGGGGGCGTATCATACACAGAAAAATGCAGTATGTATATCCCACTGAAATGGCTGTTTTAAGCCTAAAAATTGAAACAGGAAAATGCTTGGCAATAAACCCAAGACACATTATTTTATTTAATACTATTCCTATATCATTTTTGCATGGTTACCTCTTTGGAAGATTGAACCCAAGGGCTTCAAAATCAGTGCTGCCACCTAAGCAGCTCTTCTCAACTGTCTGATCAAGCTCTAGACACAACAAATCCTTGGCTCTAAATGTCAGCAATCAAAGAGGCTCAGGATGCCTAGATTTTCCATTAAGGCACAGACAGTGAATCTGATTAAAGGTCAAATGCATAGACTAAAGGAAATCAAACTGGCTGTAAAATAAGAGAATTTTCTAACTCTTTGTTTGCCACACAAATATTCACAATACAGAAACACAGTAAGTTGCCTTATACCAAGGGAGACCATTGGTCCATCTCAAAGGTAAAAAGGTAAAGGACCCCTGGACAGTTAAGTCTGGTCAAAGGCGAATGTGGAGCTCATCTCACTTTGGGCCAAGAGAACCGGCGTTTGTCCACAGCTTTCCAGGTCATGTGGCAAGCATGACCAATGCTGCATTTACATATAAGCTAAACAAGCTATAGCTTAGGACCCCACTCTTTTGGGGCCCCCCAAAAAAATTAAAGGAAAAAAGCAACTGGATGTACATTTCCAAAATATGATAAAAAACAAATAAAATAAAGCCTAGATACAGCAACAGTGTTTTGTGTTGTGTAGGCTGCTATGATGTAAGCAATGGCCCCCGCCTGCTAGCCTCCTCCCTAAAATATTACTGGTTTGCTCATTTCTATATATATGTCTCAAGATAAATTATGCTACCTCAGCCTCAGGTGCATAGAAAGTGACAAGCTACGCAGTTTATCATTTGATGATATCATCAGTGATTTTGCTTTGGCAAAGGCAAGGAAAGTATTGTAATTTAGATCATGTTTGTGTACTGTTTGTATACACAGTATACAATAAATCATGATAAAATTATACAGTTGAATCGGTATTGGGTAGATGCATTAATATGATTAGTGATCTTATGGAAGGCCTCCAGCAGCACCTCCACCTGTCAGAGATGAAGGAGAGGGTCACTCAGATGGTACCAGGAAGTGGGGCTGTCTCAGGACCCTTTGCTGTGGTTCTTGTTCTGACATTGTGAGGCCCCTCTCAGCAAACATGTGTCATGGCCACCCAATGGCATGAGGTGGACTCCCCTACTTCAAGGCAAAAGACATCTGAAGGCAGCCCTGTTTAGGGAAGCTTTTAATGACTGATGTTTTAATGTATTTTTAACCTTCTGTTAAAGGGATGCGGGTGGTGCTGTGGGTTAAACCACAGAGCCTAGGACTTGCCGATCAGAAGGTTGGCGGTTCAAATCCCCGCGATGGGGTGAGCTCCCGTTGCTCGGTCCCTGCTCCTGCCAACCTAGCAGTTCGAAAGCACGTCAAAGTGCAAGTAGATAAATAGGTACCGTTCCGGCGGGAAGGTAAACGGCGTTTCCATGCGCTGCTCTGGTTTCGCCAGATGTGGCTTAGTCATGCTGGCCACATGACCCAGAAGCTGTACGCCGGCTCCCTTGGCCAATAAAGCGAGATGAGCCCCGCAACCCCAGAGTCGGCCACAACTGGACCTAATGGTCAGGGGTCCCTTCCAACCTTATGCTGGAAGCCGCCCAGAGTGGCTGGGGAAACCCAGCCAGATGGGCAGAGTAGAAATATTATTATTATTATTATTATTATTATTATTATTACTCCTACCCTGGCAGCACCTTACCTCCACTGCTTTGCTGCTGAACTCTTGCAGCAAGTGGGAGATGTCCAAGGGTTTGAAGATGCTCTCAACAGTAAGGTCACTGGCCAGGAAGCACTTGGCCACCAAGAGCTGCTCTGCAGGAAGCAAGGCGACCTGAAACAAGAGATGAAGGTCAGAGATGCCCACAGGAAAAACTCGTTCATTTGTTTGTTCATTCATTCATTCATTCAAGGCATTTGTACTCCTCGTTTCAGCTAAAAAGGCTCCCAGAATGGCTTATACAAAATCAAAAACAAGACACTCCCTAGTCACAGGCTTACATTCGAATAAACAAACCAACAAACAGAAACACAACACAGAAGGAAGAGGAGCAAGGAGGGCAGAGGAAAAGAAATCTCACAAACTCAGGCCCCCAATGTCTAGAGTGCTGGTCCTATCTCTCCCATGGAGTCAGCCTGTTGAAATGGCTGCAGCCAGATGACCGTTGAGGGAGAAGCCTGCTGGAGCTGGCCTGTCTCAGCAGAGCTGCTGGCGTTGAGTCTCGTCCCTCCTTCCTCCATGAGTAGAGCTCCGCTAGGCCTCCTCTCTCTGCCTTGCCTGCACCCGAGAGCAACCCTTCCCTCAGACTGACTCCGTGAGGTGAGATGCAGGCTCCATGAATCAGCTCTGTGAAAAGACCAGATCCACCCAGCACCTTCTATGCCTCCGCTGGGCCAGCTGACCGCGCTACCTGTTCTTCTGTTTTTTCCTTTCCCTTTCAAACAAGAGTACAAAGTTAATATCTATTATGTAGAAATATCAATTAACCCTTTCCCAGATTCACATGTTTCTTTAATGCCCAACAGCATTAAGAATGTCTGTTTAAAATAATATTCACCCAACTACAACATAAAAGACTAAATTTTCCTTTACAGCATTCATTCTCCCCTTCTAAAAACTTGCCCAAAAAGTTTCATTTGACCTTTGATAGCTCTTTGCCAAACTTGGTGATACCATTATTCTATGTCCTACAGCTAAGTCCCCTGGAAATGCCAACTTTCACTCACCTCCAGGAGTCTTTCAAACGCCATATTCTAATTCAAACAAGCAAGGGTCACTACAGCAAACCTCTGCCAACCTCTCCACGCTGAGGATGCCAGAACCTCAGTTCAAACAGTCAGAGCCTCCATTGCTTGGTGACATGGAACGCATGGTCACCATGCCAAGATTCCAGGAGAATCCATGTGGCCTAGTGGTTAGAGTGCTGGACCTGGGAGAGCAGGGTTCAATTTCCCACTCAGCTATGAGACACACTGGGTGACCTTGGGCGAGACACTCCCTCTCAGCCTAACTGGCTCCTGAGTCTGCTGCAGCACTCTCGTGCTCAAAGCCTTGTGTTAGCACTTTAAAAGATTAACACAAACATTTGCAACCTCAAAGGGGGTTAATTAAAAAGCTCAAGACACCAGAGTTTATGCGATGGCCCATCTTTTAAAGACCCACAGAATGTAGAATCATAGAATCGTGGAGTTGGAAGGGGTCCTGGGGGTCATCTAGTCCAACCCCCTGAAATGCACAAAGAGCTGCAGTTCTGCAGCAAGCAGGGAGACCAGAAACCAAATCCTCACTCAGCCATAGTGGTCACCAAGAGATCTTGGGTCACTCACTTACTCTCAGACGCTCCTTCGCAGACTCGTTGGAAGGATAACCGGGCAGGGGGAAAGTATAGATGCCCCTCTGAGCTCCTTGCAGTTCAAGCAAGATATAGATCATGAATCTTACGAATGGGATGGTGGCTCCAGCATAGATATTTAGTGCATGTGAGCACAGGAGTAGTGGAACTGTATCTTCCTGGCAGCAGACGACAGAACTGTGAGACAGGTGTAAAATACTCAAGCAAGAGTTTTATTTACAACCTTACAACCTTACAAAGCATGTGGGTATTCACTTTTGAAGGGAAATTCAAACTGCAACTTCTCCTTTTGTACTCATCACCAGCTGTACCTAAACAGCCTAGAAAACCACACCCAGAACTCACAGAAACAGTTCTTAAAGTGACAATCATCTTTTCAGTTTCTTTGCAGAATGACTCCTAACAAGGAGCACAAGAAGTTGCAGCGTTCTGCAGTGTTTGCAGCAAATGTGAAAGCAACACAAAAAGGAGATCAATACGGTGATCAAACGTGGGACCTTCTGCATGCAAAGCAGGTGTTCTGCCGTCAAGCTTTGCTCTTTCTTCAAATACACAAAGCCTGTGCACTTTTGCTTTTTGGCTGGGAGGGACCCAGAGTGTCATCTAGTCCAAGCCCCCTGCAATGCAAGCCTCAATGCATTCAATGTGTGTTTCTTAAATATGTATACTTTAACTGCTGATTCTATTGATGTTATGATTCTTTTATGTCTATTTACAATATAAATAAGAGACGCAGGTGGCGCTGTGGTCTAAACCACTGAGCCTAGGGCTTGCCGATCAAAAGGTTGGCAGTTCAAATCCCTGCAATGGGGTGAGCTCCCGTTGCTCGGTCCCTGCTCCTGCCAACCTAGCAGTTCGAAAGCACGTCAAAGTGCAAGTAGATAAATAGGTACCGCTCCGGTGGGAAGGTAAATGGCGTTTCCGTGCGCTGCTCTGGTTCGCCAGAAGCAGCTTAGTCATGCTGGCCACATGACCCAGAAAACTGTCTGTGGAAGCGGATGGCTCCCTCGGCCTGTAAAGTGAGATGAGCGCCCCAACCCCAGAGTTGTTCGCAACTGGACTTAACTGTCAGGGGTCCCTTTACCTTTACCTTTTACAATATAAATACAGTAGAACTAACTAAATAAAAGATAAATGTAAACAGTCTTACAGTTCTTCCAAACTCATTCGCTTTTTTAAAATTTGTAATCCATAGTTAATACTGTGCTGATCTGTACAAAGAAAGAAAACCACCTCCCTCCCCACCCCAAGTCTAACATATGATGTAACAGGGATCACTCTCTCTCTCTCTCAGGAGTTAGCATCCCTTCCAAATCAACCCCCCGTTTCAAGCTCTGCCACCTGTCAAGAAGGGCAGAGTTCCCGCCATCAAAGGTCCCAGGGGCAGTTACACAGGCAGAAGCTCCCAGCCAGGGTCCAATCCATACACAACCTTGTTAGACCCAGTCTCTCTGCAAAGCTGCTAAATATTCTTCCAAAAGTTGGTGCTGGAACCCTCCGTCTGCTTCGGGAGACAACACTGAATCTTGGTGTTTCACTGTCACTTCAAAGCCCCCCTAGGCAGCGCTGCTATTGCGCCGGGAGCCTGTCTCCACGTGCAGGGGAAACACGTCCCCGGTAGCATCACTATGATGGTGCCTTATGTCACAATCCGCCCCTCCTTTGTCCCCGCCCGCCGCCTGAGGAAGTGGGAGCTGCAGCCTTGATGTGGAAGTTGCCCGGGCTCAAAGGCGCTGACTTCCAAGCAGGCAGGCAAGGCGGGCGCACCAGAAAGCTGCCGGAAAGCCCGCGCGCAACCCGGGAGCAGAAGACGCCAGGGCAGAGCATCACTTCCAAGCCTCCGGGAAGAAGCAGAAGAAGAAGAAGAAGAGTTTGGATTTGATATCCCGCCTTTCACTCCCTTTAAGGAGTCTCAAAGCGGCTAACATTCTCCTTTCCCTTCCTCCCCCACAACAAACACTCTATGAGGTGAGTGGGGCTGAGAGACTTCAGAGAAGTGTGACTTGCCCAAGGTCACCCAGCAGCTGCATGTGGAGGAGCGGAGACATGAACCCGGTTCCCCAGATTAAGAGACTACCGCTCTTAACCACTACACCACACTGGCTTCACCACAGGTGAAGGAGGGGCATGGAGGCAGCTGCCCCCCCCGCTCGGCTCCTCCCTCCCCTCCTGCTGCCGGGCAAGGGCGCCCGGGATGCAATGGCACTTCTGCCCCCCCCCCCGCCCCTGCCCCACCCACCACCACCTCCCTCCCCGCCTCTTCTCCGCCTCGGCCGCCCTTCGTCCTGGGCGCCTCTTCGGGACCTCTTCCTCGCCACCCGCCCCCCCCCCAAGGCAGCCCCTCCGAGACCCCACCAGGGCCGGATTTACGTACTGTATAAGCTAAACAAGCTATAGCTTAGGGCCCTAGTCTCTTGGGGCCCCCAGAAAAATGTAAAGGGGGGGGAATGTACATTTCCAAAATATAAGATTAAAAAAAAACAAAAACCTACATACAGCAACAGTGTTTTGTGTTGCGTAGGCTCCCTTGATGTAATGAGGTCCATAAATTACCATATAGTATATATTCAACACAAAAAGTAGATAAATAGGTACCTCTCCGGCGGGAAGGTAAACGGCGTTTCCGTGCGCTGCTCTGGTTCGCCAGAAGCGGCTTAGTCATGCTGGCCACATGACCCGGAAGCTGTACGCTGGCTCTCTTGGCCAGTAAAGCAAGATGAGCGCCGCAACCCCAGAGTCGGTCACAACTGGACCTAATGGTCAAGGGGTCCCTTTACCTTTACAGCGGTACCTATTTATCTACAATGGTACCTTGGGTTACAGACACTTCAGGTTACAGACTCCGCTAACCCAGAAATAGTGCTTCAGGTTAAGAACTTTGCTTCAGGATGAGAACAGAAATCGTGCAGCAGCGGTGCAGCAGCAGCAGGAGGCCCCATTAGCTAAAGTGGTGATTCAGGTTAAGAACAGTTTCAGGTTAAGAACGGACCTCTGGAACGAATTAAGTACATAACCAGAGGTACCACTGTACTTGCACTGGTGTGCTTTCGAACTGCTAGGTTGGCAGGAGCTGGGACAGAGCAACAGGAGCTCACCCCGTTATGGGGATTGGAACTGCGGACCTTCTAATTAGCAAGCCCAAGAGGCTCAGTGGTTTAGCTCACAGCGCCACCTGCATTCCATCTATCTCAGTATTTGTCTACACTGATTGACAGTAGCTCTCCAGGGTTTCAGACAAGAGATATTCCCAGCCCTACCAGGAGATGCCAAGGATTGCTCTTGGGACTTCCTGTATGCAAAGCAGATGCTCTGTTCTGCCCCTTCCGCAAACCACTTCTGTACATACCGTATTTTTCGCCCCATAGGGCGCACCGGCCCATAGGACGCACCTAGTTTTTTGGGGGGAAATAAAGAAAAAAAATTCTTTTTCATAAGACGCACCCACCCCCTTGCTCTCCAGGCTTCAGTGAAAGCCTGCATTCGCCCCATAGGACGCACACACATTTCCCCTTCATTTTTGGAGGGGGAAAAGTGCGTCCTATAGGGCGAAAAATACGGTACATTACTTTCTCATGCTTAAAATGCACCACAAAAACATTGAGAAACATTCGGTTCTACATTTGTTCTATTTGTTAATTCTTTTTATTTTCATTCACTGAAAAGGCAGTTACTGCACAAATTACTTTTCATGTCACTGCTGCATTATCTGGGATACCGGAAGTCTTTATTAGCCATTATGCTAAGTAAGCCACAGCTGGGCATTCAGTGAGTTTGTGGTTGGTGAGCATCTCTGGCTGTCCTCTGCACAGCGCCCACTTATCCTTCAGGCATTACTAAAAAGAATTTAGTTTTTCTTATGAATATAAGCAAAGCCAATAAATTAAGACAATTCTTTAGCTGATCTCTTGACCCTAGGATAATGCGCAACAAGAAATCATGCAGAATGGCAATCACACAATGGGAATCAATGTAATCAAGTGTAGGTCCAAGAAGTGTGGCTCAGAATCGGGACCCATTAATTCAGGTTTTGCAAAATTCCTAGAACTCTTGAGTGGGATACTAATTCACCTCTCGAGTAGTCCCTTTCTGGTAAGAACATTTGTGAGGTTGGAAGAGATTAAAAATTTATATTTAGTACGCTTCCAGATGTTAGTGTAGTACAACTCATGGCAAGTGGGGCCAAAGGGAGCCAGAATCCAACAACATCTGGAGGGCCACAGATTTACCACCCCTGCTGTAAAGAGTACTAAATAAATATATTTAAAAAGTTAAATAAAACATAATACGGTTATTTGATTTCTGCTTTTTATAGTTTTGTATTTGTAAAACAAGCAGTTCAAAACCTGCAATGTCATCTTCATATCTTGATTCACAATACTTATGGAGAAACATGACAGGCAAAAACAAAAGCACTGAAACTATTCACCATTTTTCATAAACATTTTTGGTTGTACTGAAAAGCTCCCCTTTGAATAATTTTCTTCTCTGAAATCCTCTGTATGCACCAGAAACTTTTTATTGATATACCGTATTTTTCGCCCTATAGGACGCACCGTCCCATAAGGCGCACCTAGTATTTGGGGGGGGGAATAAAGGGGGGAAATTATTTCTCCCCCAGGCACGGGGCTGGGGCGGGGGAAGCCCGAGCTTCCCCCGACCCCAGCCCCCAAACAGGCAGCTCTCTGCAAGCCGTGGGAGCCCAGCGCCGGCTCCCACTGCTTGCTGAGAGGTGCGCGAAGCCTGGACGCGCTGGGCTCAGCGCGCGCAGGCTTCAGCATGCAGGCAACTCTCCGCAAGCAGCGGGAGCCCAGCGCTGGGCTCCCACTGCTTGCGGAGAGGTCCGCGAAGCCTGCATTCACCCCATAGGACGCACACACATTTCCCCTTCATTTTTGGAGGGGGAAAAGTGCGTCCTATAGGGCGAAAAATACGGTACATGCTGACATCTTGGGAAAAATTATGGGGAAATAATTAAATTTGGAGGAAAAGCTATGGCCAGGAGATTGCACATCATCTAAGAACTCTATAGCTATACAAATCTGAATCTTATTAAGGACATCAAAATTGGTGCGGCTATAATACTGGCATCAACAAAAACACATATTACTGAACAGTGAATCAGGCATTTACTGGTAATTCTGAAGGTTTTAAAATGTGCACAGGGGAAAGTATGTGCATAACTAAATGTCAAAGACTACAAAGTGCATTGGGACGTATGGGGATGTTAGGGGAGGGGTTGTACCTCTGTGGGGTAAATATGTCGTACTCCTCCTGCAGTTGTTTGTCCACCTTTGGTCCCCACCATGCACTCCTAGAAGCTGTCAACATATGACAGTGGCCACACCTCAGGAACAGCTTCAACTGGCCTGCTAAACCAGGTGAGGGTAGCCAATGGATTTCAAACCTTTGATGAGCTAGGGACTTTTCCTGCATGTGGAAACAGGCTCCAGCAGATTGAGCAGGCGAGACCAATAGTGAATCCAATGGTCAAGAAGGTGGATTCTGCACGTGCTGTAGAGGGAAGTGAGGTGCAGGTGGGGCTTGTCAACCTGGAAGGTAGCCCTTCTAGGAGAAGGAAAATTCTGATTCTAAACCTTTGCTGCCTTGCAGGATATCTTCATAGGAAGAAAAGACCAAGGAGTAAACCCTACACAAATCCAGAGTAGCATCCCTAAGACTGTTGGATGGTGTCTTGTATGTCCCCTCTCAGCAACTCCTGCAGCCAAGCTGGTGCCAAACATATTGCTCTGCTTTCCTTTGGACCACATCAGGGTGGTCTTGTCATCTGGGCAGCCCAGGACCTCCAGACACATGGCCCAGGCTTGCGCCTCAGGGAGGTCACTTTGGTGCTGCAAACACAGTGACTCAACTTCATCCCTGGAGGCACACTCCATTGTCTCTCAGACAGATGCCAACAAGAATACAAACTGCGTTCAGTAGATGTTCAAATGCCATGCTGATTTCTTTCAAGTCTTACCTGCCATTTCCTGCTGACCCTCTTAAAACCTTAAGAATTACCAGTAAATGACAGCATCCACCAAGTTTAGGTTACTGAAACATATTCTCATCTACGCATACAATATGTATCTGTTGTATGTAGATGCAAAGCATCAAACAATTATTGGCACTGAAAAATAGACTATTCACTAGCAAATATGGCATAGGCCTTTTGATTTCTGTACTTCATGCCTCTTTGGTCTTGTATTTGGAAAACAGGCAGTACAAGACGAGCAACGTGGTCTTCATATCTCGGTTCACGAGATCTGTGAAAACATAAGGCAGACAAAAGTAGAATGGGTAAATTATACATCCTTGAGCTGTAGAGGAACAGCCCATATAACACATTGAATTTGCATTCCCTAGAATGGAATGGGGGAACCAAGGCAGCTACCACAAACCCAAAGCTCAGGAACAGAGGTGACGGTTGGGATTTCGTCCCATCCGCAGGGTGGGCATCCAGCCAATCGCCATTATGCGTGTCTGCCCGGTTCTCCCTCCTGCGTGATGTCCGGATTAATCATCTGTCTCCTTCCCGACAGGACTCCGTGACCCACATCTTCCAACAGTAGGCACACATTAGCAGAGTAAACAAATCATCAGCAGAAGCCAGGCCCGAGGTGGGGGCACTAAAGCTACTTTATTATTGACAGTTCAGAACAAACGGAAGATGTCTCCTCTCCTTCTTGCTCTCAAAGAGAAGGGAACAAAAGCAATACCAAAACAGAACAGTGAAAGTCAAAACATCCGTTCTTGTGCTGCAACAGCTAGTGCTGGAATGTATACAGACATCTGAGAAGTGCTCCTAAGGTGATATGGAAACATGAAGTGTAAACGCACCCCTTCTTGTACAATGACTAACCTTCAGGGTTGATAGGTACATCCAGAAGGCCTCCGTCCATTAGAAAGTCTACTGCAAGGCTTGCATTGTGTACCTGAGAAGGGTCAACAAAAGAAAAGGTGGTGTCAATTCTGGAAAAATTATCACCAATGGAAAACAACAACATATTACCGTATTTTTCTGTGTATTGGACGCCTCCATGTATAGGATGCCCCCTATTTTTGGGGACCCCAAAAAAAGAAAATGGGGGGAAATTGCCCTGACTTGTTGAAAATTTTGGGGGGAAGGATTGCCCAGAGGCTAACAGCCCCACCCGTCTAACAGGCCACCTATCAGCTGTTCCCTCGCCAGCAATCACTGAGCTTTGGGGGGGGCAGAGTTGAGCTTGTTTTGGGGGGGGAGTGGTGAAGCTTTTTTTCCAATTACTTTTAGCACTTTTTGCCTTCCCCACGGAGCCTCCATACAGTATTCTGCTTGCCTCCTCCCACTCTGCCTGCCCTACAGCTGGGAGGGAGGCTGTAGGCAGTCTGTTTTTGCCATGTGGTGTCTTTGCGCGGCTCCGTTTGTGCAGGGGCGGTGCAACGTTACTCAGGAGGAGCGCAGCGATTGAAGTAATATTCCCCCTCTGCGCCTTTAACATTAGCGAAACATCGCACCTTGCGCTCCTCCTGTGTAACATTGTGCCACCCATGCACAAATGGAGCCGCGCGAAGACATTGCGCAGAAAAAACAGATCACACAGGCAGCCTCCCCCATGCAGCCTCTGCCTGTAGGATGGGCAGAGTGGGAGGAAGCAGGCAGACTGAGAATGCCCCACGAGAAAGGCGCAGAGGAGAGAGATATCTTCGATCACTGTGGCCAACATGGCAAAGTCAGGTGAACGCCAAAATGCACACCACCCCAAGAGGGCTATGTGACGGACAGCTGAGCCAGACCAGAATCTGGTGACGCAGTGCCTCAGAATTCCACCAGAGGGCTGGAGCCTCTCTCTGATTGGCTACCTAGACAGATAGACAAAGGTGGGTGGAGCCAGAACTTTGGGAGGGAGAATAAAAGGAGCCGTTTCAGAGAAAGGATTCTGATGGGGAGATGGTTTAAGAGAGAGCAGGAGGGAGAGAAAAAGAGTTGGTCCTAGTCTGCGTGTGTAACATCTACCCTGGGAAAATTATCTACAGCTAGAGAAAGTAGTCTCTGAGCTTAGACAGGAAGACTGTGTTGAGTGTCTTGGGAGAGCATTCAGACTGAGTTGGAGCCAGGAGAAGGAGAAGCTGTGAGTATACAGTCTCCTTGGGTCTCCTTCCAGTCAGGAGGGGAGAGGTCTTCCAGAAAGAGAAGACTCCCAAACCAGGAAAAAAGGGGTGCATGGGGATCCCCTGGGTCTGTTAGGCTGCCAGAGGTATCTCAGGAGTATGACTGATCAAAGGCTGGGAAACAGACAGAAAGTACCACCTCCTTGTTTAAGAACCAAAGTATTAAGCTGTAACACCTACACAACAACTAAGTTTAGGAACTGAAGTGAAATAAGTGGAAGTAAACTTTTGTCTAGAAACCTGTAACATCTGAGGAGTAAAAACTGAATTAAAGCAGCTGACATTTAAAAGAAGCTGTGCATTTATTACCTTCTTTAGAAGCCTGTATCATCCACTAGATTAAGTATAATTATTAATAAATTAACTGTTTCCTGAAAGACCTTTTATCTCCTGACACATCCTTTGTTTTATTAACTTCGTTCTTTAAAACTAATATGTCTTATTTTTTCAACTTCTGCTTGAGTCTCCAAGGATCTAAGTTTACCACCACACAAAAACCACGAAGATAAACTGTGGAGGTTACATGTAGTATATAAGTTGGTGGGTTCTGCCACAGTTGGTAGCCAGAGAGGTGGGATCCACTTCACTTTGGTGACACAACGGTGGGATCTGCTACAGGCCGGTTTATTCCCTTTGCATGGGGCACCTAAGAAGCTTGGAAATAATGTGGGGAAATTATCTGTGTGTCCCACCTATTATAGTTTATAGTTGGGCCTCCAAATGCCCTGTACCCACAATTGGGTGCATAAAGAATAACTTACCATTTCTGCAGGGGAACTTGGTTTCAGGAAAAAATCTCCCAGATTCACGAAATAGCCCTGAAGCTGCCCAATTAGCAAGAGTAAAATAACCCCATCTGCAAACTGGGGGGAAATGAACAGAGGCATTACATTAAAGATTATTAAAATGATCGCAGGGTCAGTTTTGTAATCCACAAGACCTCCATGACTTAAAGAACTTTCCTGCCGGACAAAAGCTTCTTCATATTTGCCCCCCAAAGCTTACCAAAGCTTCTGTGTGCAACAGCACAAAACAGTCACGCAAAAACTTATTGAAGTGCTACAATACTATATGTTATATATCACCCACATCTGTATGTTACAGTCTGAATCCAAATTTCAGCACTTTATGTCCAGTTCATAGGTTATTAGTGTGACAGGTAAGTCATTTATCTCTGACTAGATTCCAGTGCTATTTGAATGAAAGAATCATGTCAACTATATAGATCAAGTTTTGAAGTTGCTTGTTATTTTGACAAAAGACAAAATCCAGATAAGGATTTCTCTTAGTGCTGATCCTATGCCAAGAATTAAAAATTCTTTGTAGGTGGGATATATGAAAAACTTTTGCATCACTTCACTTTCCAGGGTACTAATGTGTGTTAGCAGAGAACAGAAAGCTTGACTGCATCTGGCAAGAACAGATTCAAGTCCCACCTTGGCTGCAGATGCTGGGCCACTGCACACGTTCGACCAAAGTGAACCTGGGTTTGCCATCAGATGTACATTTGGTGGGAAGCTGTAGCAAATCCCGAGTCCGATGAATATGAATGTATGATACACATGCTTCCAAACACATGTATATCTAATTAATCCATTTAATTTCTATGCATGCAATAAAAAAAAACTTAGATGTGCACCAATGTGGTGTAGTGGTTAGACTAGGACCAGGGAGGTGCAGGTTCAAATCCCCATTCAGCCACAAAGCTCACTCAGTGACCCTTTCAGTCACTATCTTGGAACTTAACTACTTCACTGGCTCATGGAAATGATAAAATAGGAGAAGGAAACTATGTGCATAGCCAGAGCTCCCTGATAGAAGGAAGAAATAATAATGGCATACATAAATTTTAAAAATGGGGTTCCTGCAAGCATCTGAGATATTGAAATGAAGAATGAAATCAAGGAAGCCCTCACTTAGCGTGCTTACTCTCTATAAATTGTCTTTTTAACCACGTGAGGCAGGTGCTTAAACTTAATTTCCCATCATTTGAAGTAGACCTTGTTGGGAATTCCATTCCACCCTTTGCTGCAGATATGTGGGATTGTTATATGTCACATGTCTGTTTCCATTCCAGCACAGATTGCTGGAATCCCGTGAGCAGAAGTTCCGCTCTGCATTGCTTTTGTTTTCTCTCTCTCTCTAAGAAGAACGACAAGGAGAGAGGCCATGTTTTTCTTTGTCCTGATTTATGTAGAATAAATGTGTAGTTTAGTACAGTATCCACGCCTCGAGCCTGATCTGTTGTGTGTTTACTCTGCTGAGTAATGTGTACTCTTGCATGCACAGCAGCTTGAGTTGCAGACACGTGTCGGAGGAGTGTTAATGATGGGTCTCCACAGCGGCAAGGCTGAGAAGGGAGACGCTTCGGCTGGAGCCAAGCCAGCTGGCTTTTCATCCCCGGTTCCGACTGTCCTGCCCACGAAGGACGCAGCTACATAGTGTTCATGTGCTCCACACTGACTTATTATGTGGCCTTCATCAAGTTGCAGCCCCAACCCGTGTTTCCCATCTGTAAAGGGAAATGCTTAGTGATAGACCTCCAAGGGTTGATATGAGGGCAAACACCATAAAGCAGTTCATAAATTAAATGCAACATAGGATCATGAGTAGGATATATTTACCTGAGAATCAATGTCTTCCACACTTAGTCCTAACTTCCCAACATGTCTGTTGACAAACTTCAAAAATACCTGAAGGAACAGAGCATGGCATCAAATCACCGTTTCTTGGTTATATATCACATTATAAATTGTCTGGGGGAAAACGAAACAAAAACCTGAGGGTGTTTGTTTTACCTCTTTCACTGCATCCACTTTCTCTGGAGCATATGCCATTAATTCATCAAAGATTTCAGCTTCTAGAGTAAAGTACCAAATTGATTATTTTCAATATATTTCACCACATGAGAGTTTTTCTGTATTATGTTTTGCAATGCAGGTCATAATGACCCATATCTTAGCCCAATAACAAAGGAGGATGGAGGTGGAGTGCTCTGCATATGGCTTCTTTGTGGGCTTGTGGGTCTATGCGCCATCCCATCCTCTCTATTGCCTTTTCCTCCCAAAGCTGTCATTCTGTACTACAGAAATGTGGGTTGCAATCCTATACCCATTTCTCTGGGAGAAAGCTGTTTTGATCTCAATGAGATTGACTTTTAACTACTTAGGATTGCACCCTTAGACTGGAAATTCCTTGGGACAGGAACCTGTCTTTCTGTATGTTTGTTCAATAAAGCATCAAATCTATGAGGGGGGCTCCCTAGATGTTGCTGAACTCCCATCATCCCCCCTGACTATGGCCATGGTGGCTGGGACTGGCGGGAGTTGAAAGTCCAATCAATCAATATTTATTACAGTCAAAGTCAAAGACAACAGAAAGAACGATAATAACACATTTAACTACATCAGCACCCAGGGGCAGAAGCGGCAGACAAAATCGGAAATGTCATATATATTTCTTAACATTCTTAACGTTAAAAGGAATACTCCATCAGCTAAAGTCTGAGATCCAGAGTCTAAAATCAATATTCATTCGAGTCTTTGTCAGCAACAAGGTATTTCCTATGAGCGGCTAGGTAGTTAGTTTCCTTAATAAAGGTTGAATTAGTTCTTTTCAGCTATCATAGTATAGCAGGCAGTATAAGAGTACGTGGGCAATTTATTCAATCTCATCTGAATTACATGGGCACAGCTACAATTATAACATTGTAAGTCTCAACAGTCCTAGGTGACTTTCCAGCTCATACCTAACATCAGAACAATTATTTTCTGCTGCTATGCATAGAAGTTTAGTAAAACAATGGTGGAGCTTCATCAGGAGATTGCCATTGATGATGAAGATATGAGGCTTTTTGCAGAGAACAATAACTGCCACAGAGCTTTTCAAAACAGATCATGGTGGAGACACAATGGAATAAGTCCTTAGTTCTGTAACTTACGTGAAGAACTTTCGTCAGGTTCCCTAAATACCCAACGAAAGGAAAGATGAGTTAGAAAACAAGCAAGTAGGCATCTGAAGTAAAAGGTGGTTGCAGCCCACAATATCTCAGGTTGAATAGTTAATCTCTGGGCTGCAACAAGCCTCATGGGGCAGAAGCCGACACATATTTACTTGGACATAAAATTGCACAGCGCTCCAACCTCGGTTATTTTGTGGCAACAGATTCGCATTCCTACCTTTCTAGAATTTGTCACTATGAAATAAGAGACTGAAATATAAAATGTAGCTGTTACCTGAGTCTCTGGCTCAAAATTCAATAAAGGTTTATCTTATAAGCGTAGTTTCTCATATTAGAAATTGTCTAACATAACAGATTATAAAAGATATTGGTAAGGACAAAGCCATAGAAGGCAAATGGTATTTCTGATGTTTGAAGCCAAGGCAGAAAGAGGCAAGATGTTGCCTGGTGTCATGATCAGGAGCCCAGGAGCCAGCAAATAAGGGATGAATTGGCACTCATTTCCAAAACCACCTAAATAAAGAACTCTGTGGGATTTACAGAAACCAGTACCAAACACAATACATTTTCTACTCTTTGTTAACTTTTATTTGCACAATAAAACTGACACGTAAGTAGAGACAAATGTAATTTCCATCTTTCTACTTCTCCATTCAGAGTTCAAGGCAAATTTTGTCTTTTACCTGTTCCCGGTGATGTACTCAACTGAATCTTCTGTCTTAAATCCGTTCGCTGTATGCTATGAAATAGAAAGAAAGGATGCAAAAAGAAGGTATCAACTACTAACTGCAAAAAAAGAAGGAAAGGGGAACAATATACCTCAGGAATGTGCTGTGCAAGATTTCTTTATTGTGAAATCTTTGGCATTTCTACACAGAAGGAAGACTGACCAGGTTACTCCCAGGTAACCAGGTATAGGATTGCATCTTAATTATACCAAAATCTTAGGCAAAATCTACACATTCTGGGGTCAAACAGAGCATCCTCAACAAAAACACAATCCCAACCTTGTGTTTTCTGCCAAAAGGAGAAATGCCATAAGCTTTCCCTCAGCAACTCTCCCCCTGCCACTCCCCATTCCTAGCTATGGGTTCTGAGATGCTTTTGTCTTGAGGGTTTGCAAGGCAGAAAGGCAAAATGTGTGTTTTAATAAATAAATAAGTGAAATTAATAAAGTGGGAGCCGTGGCTGGGGATCTTGCTCCTGGCACTGCAAACACAAACATGCCCCTTGGAATGGCATCAGCAAACATGGAGTGGAGAATCCTGGTTTTGCTTCTGCTCATATAGCTCTGCCCAAAACTCCCCCTGCTCTGCATACTTTGGCAGTGCAACTTCACATGTTTTCTGCCAATAGAATTCCTATAGGATGTATGGTTTGTTTGAGTATTTATACAAGTTAGTGCTTAATTGCTTTTTAATGGTTTGAAAAAAATGTTTTTAACTGTTTCTCTTTTATCTGTAAGCCACTTTGAGTCCCTGTCTGGGGAAAAGGTTGGATCAAGTACTGGTAAGTTAGTAGTAAATAGTCCTCATTCACACATAGGAAATCACAGCCAATTTGCTCCTCCCCATTCATTCTGCTGCAGTACTGCACTGAGCTAAGTTATGGTTAGGTTTAGCATGTAATCCAGACAAAGCAACAGCTGTAAACCACAGGACAAAGTTTGTCTGGAGACAGTGAAACCCTGAGCTTGGGCTTGGACAACACATTAAGCCAAACTAGCAGAAGAAAGGCCAGGAAGAAGCAAAGGGGCCACAATCTCTTCTCTGGGAGCCTGTACGTTAGCTCGGAGCCATAGTTTAGCTTAGCATTAAAAAGGTAAAGGTACCCCTGCCCGTACGGGCCAGTCTTGCCAGACTCTAGGGTTGTGCGCTTATCTCACTCTAGAGGCCGAGAGCCAGCGCTGTCCGCAGACACTTCCGGGTCACGTGGCCAGCATGACAAGCTGCATCTGGCGAGCCAGCGCAGCACACGGAACGCCATTTACCTTCCCGCTGGTAAGCGGTCCCTATTTATCTACTTGCACCCGGGGGTGCTTTCGAACTGCTAGGTTGGCAGGCGCTGGGACCGAACGACGGGAGCGCACCCCGCCGCGGGGATTCGAACCACCGACCATGCGATCGGCAAGTCCTAGGCGCTGAGGTTTTACCCACAGCGCTACCCGCGTCCCACTCTTCTCTTCTCTGGGAGCCTGTACGTTAGCACGGAGCCATAGTTTAGCTTAGCATTACACATGAGCTTATTAACAGTGTGATAAAATGAGGAATTAGTGCAAATTTTGATGCCAATTACTCATTGCATATTATCTCAGTAGATTTACTATATATGCAGTGAACATTTGATATCTCAACATCAATTATTTGATTTCAGAATTAGTTATTTGACAGTGAACATTTGACAGTATTTGATAGTCAGCATGCAATGTTTAATTTAATGTAATTGCTGGTATGCAATGGTATTTAACATTTAACAGATATGACATTATATGTAATGGTATTTAGTATGTGGTACTGCTTCAGAGTGGACAGCTTATAATATTCACATCTAATAATAAAATGTCAAGAGAATCATAAGATTATCCATTTCTTTTTGTTAGTTGCTTTTCATTATACAAATAATTCTAAAGCAGATACTATATCAATAAAACACAACCAAGTCATACAACCAGTAAACAATAGAGGACAGTTAAAAGGGGAGAGCACAGACACAGTCAAACAACTATTTATAAAGTGCAGCATCACAGACATAGCCCAAAGTCTCGGTGAATAAATAGGGCTTCGGTTGGCTTATAAGACTTAGCACCAACTAACTGCAAAGTCCAACGTAATTGAATTTTGTTATAAAAATTCACGTTAAGGATTTGAGGATTTGAATTTGACATTTTGTTTTCAACATTTGAATTTGACATTTTGCATCCATGTTTTTAATATTCCTAATATTAATCAGAGTTCTAGAAACAGCCCTGAGAGGATATTTGTTTGCAATCCACCTTGTACTAGGGTCCATGACACTTCTGATGGAGCTGAGATGGAAGACACAGGGTCTCCCAGGCACTGCCCACTGCCGTGCAGCCTGTCACGTGAGCTGCTGATTCTGTAATAATAATAATTTATAATAATTTATTCTTTATACCCAGCCCATCTGGCTGGGTATCCCCAGCCACTCTACAGCTAGGCAAGTGAGAAATAGAAGTGTGGACCTACGAAACCAATCCTGGTCCCACGCCTTCTTCACCAAATCATGGTGGTACCACTCTTAACACTATGCTGCAGAATGGTGACATGGTTGTCACAGTGCAAGCGAAAGCACTGTCTCCAAATCCCGCCCCCATCCCTACCCAACAGCACCTCTCTGAGGTCGGTGTGTGGATGAAAACTGGGGCAATGCTTGGCTCCTGTGCCTGCTCCCACAACCATCGCAAGCAGTTTCTCTAACTTCAGCATGCTTGCCTCACTCAGGGTGCAAAAACAATCTTAACAAGCTCAGCAGAGAGCAGAAAGAAAGGGAAAATTGTTCCATTACCTCTATGTTTATTACATCCACCTTAACGTTCGGAGGTATAGCGAGCTCTGGTTGAAAGTGGCCAGCAATGGCCACCAGAAGATGCAACGTGGACAGCAAGTCCTTCCTGAAGATGGCTAAAATAAGAGGACGAGGCAAACGGATGAAGTGTAAACCAATTAATATTTGGAAATACCGTATAAATAAACCGTATCTGGAAATGGTTTAAATGCTAGCAGATTTCAGTACAATGGTACTATTTCTAAAGCTGCGGGGGTATGTAGCTCCTGGTGGCGCCAGGGTGGGGTGGGGGGCTCTTCTTCGACTGGAAGAAGTGCGGACGGGGCTTTATAGCCCAGTGGGCCAAGATGTCCTAAACAAATGCATGCTTAGGCTGGCCCTGAGTCTCTGTTCCTCAGAATCCCTCACCAATGGAACCCTTGTTGTTTTAGTTAGCAAAATGGTCATCCTTATGACAGAAGTGTGTGTCTGGAGGACCCTTGGAGCAGTAGAAAATGCAGTAGAAATCAGCAAGGGCCAGGCCACAGAGAGGCAGAGATGGAAAGTCGCTTTCCACCCACACTCCATCTTGTCTCCAAGTGCAGCACTAACTTTCCTCCACAGGAATTAATGCTCACCACTCATTTAACTGGGAGGAAATATCTGCTGCAAGGCTAAACTTGCACTTAGCACCTGGGGACTCCAGCAATTGGGAATCAATGCTGTTTTTATCTGTATAGTCCAGACCTGGGTTTGTTTCTTGGGAAGACTGGGGTGCTGGTGACTGGTTTTTATATAAAATATTACTTTTATGCTGACATATTCTTGTGGGTGTTTCTCCTGCAAATGTTATAAGAAACCTAGCCATGAGTTTGTCAGGAGTTACAACTTTTGTTTGGGGTATTTGGTTCTTTTACTTCACTAGATTCCCAAGATAAGAAAAAGGAAGGAGATACATTATTATTCAGTATCCGATTTGTGTTTTGCATTTGTACATACAGTCTACACTCCATTTCAGTTTGCTTTCTTCTAGCTGTAAACACTGGTTCACAGATTTTAGAATAATTTCAAGTTTAAGCCTTTGTTTCTTCTCTGTCAATGCAATTTCCTCTACTTCCAGACTGAGGGATCCAAGTTGCTCTAGTAGTTGAAAAGAAGACAAGAAAGAAAGATGCAGAATATAGTCTGACTTCCGGTTCAGCAATTTATTGCAGGGTATTCTAATTCCTCCAGGAAGCCCTGGTACAAAAGTGTCTTATTTTAATTCACACAACACCAACCTCCAGCATTGTGTACTGAATTTTAAGTGGTGTGAGCCTCTTCCAGAGCCATTTTGTGCCTGAAAAGCTGTAGAAAAGCCTAACAGCGAATAGGTGTGTGTCCTTCATTCACTTAGGCTTAGGGCATTCAGGGCAACCGTTGAAATGAAAGTGAAAGGTCATTGACAAAAGATCCCTTTGTGTATCTTATAGAACACTCAGGGGTCTGGACTGTAAATACTGTATTGTTAGATTTCTATGATTCCACATTTATCCAAATACCTATTTTTATATGCATTTTTGCCAGATCTACACAATTTTCCAAGCAATTTATCCAACAATGCATTTTGCAAGTTATTTTCACTAATATATGCATGCACAGTTTTGTGTACTGCAAAATTTGAAGCAGTTTGAATGTTGAAGGATAGCTGTTCTTTGGTTCAAGAAGTGCAAATTAGCCACATTTCTCCCCTACCCTAACTCTAAACACACACAAAGAAAAGGTAACAGCAAATAAAGGACTTGTGGCAGGAACCACGAAGCCATATGAATTATCAGTCACTGAAGGCTAGCAGTGCTTATGTTTTGTCCTTTTTGAGGGTTAGTCTTTGTCTCTGCTTTTCCCCTTCTGCATAAATCCTGCCGTTGGCAAGGCCTTCTTCTCTTTCTTCATTGTATATTCTTTTGCTGCTCCCTTCCTGTCAGGCTCCCACAATATCTGCTCATGATGGTCACACAAGAACAACATGCTACCATCATGTGTGCATGCATGCTATTTCTGCACAGGATGATCTTGATTCTGTGTGCAAGTGTTTCAAGGATACACTAAGTTGTGGCAGGAACAAATTGCAAGAAAGCCAATACATAGAAAACTAAATTTTCAGAGAGAGTGTGGGAGAAGAAACATGCCATTCAGGCTTTAGAATATCTCAGTTATCTGGTTGATCTGCATGTAAGCTAAGAAAAAGAGCTGGTAATAAATATTAATTATAGGAGGTCACTCTGTAATGAGATTTATTTCACAATACAGGTATTTCCAAATGTCCACATTTAAAACAAAAATGGCTTACCTATGAGATGATGAAGTATCAATCCATCATACATGTCTTGTTCAAGGCTTTTCACCACAATGTGTTCATGCTTCAGAGTTGTGTTAATCCAATCCATAAAGAACTGTGGGGGGAAATGTTGTCTTGAATAACTGCATTTGGGTATTTTCTCACTTCTTCTTTTTTTAAAAAAAAAGATAGAAATCAGATTTACTTCAACAATCTGTGCCAAAGTATCCTAATTCTGTAATTGGTTGTTACTGTAATGTAAAAGTAAAATGGAAGAGCCCTAAATTTAGCATATATGTGTGTTTCTGGTTAAATTTCATGCACTTGACAAGAGTGGCATGCTTTTGTACACTGCTTGGAAATTCTGAATATTAAGCAGCATATAAGTATCTGAAGTGCAGAAATAAAATATATTTTAACATTTTAATTCATTCCAGTATATATTTTTAACCAAAAAAGTTCATAGAATCATAGAATTGTAGAGTTGGAAGGGACCACAAGAGTTATCTAGTCCAATCCCCTGCAATGCAGGAATCTTTTGATCCAACATGGGGCTCGAACCCACGACCCTGGCATTAAGAGTTTCATGCTGTACCAAGTGAGCTATCCTGCTGGCATATTATCCCCGAATTGCTGAAACGTCACACCAGCATCTTGCAGAGAGCAAGAAGAGGAGGAGGAGGAGTTTGGATTTGATATCCCACTTTATCACTACCTGAAGGAGTCTCAAAGCGACTAACAATCTCCTTTCCCTTTTCCACAACAAACACTCTGTGAGGTGAGTGGGGCTGAGAGACTTCAGAGGAGTGTGACTGGCCCAAGGTCACCCAGCAGCTGCAGGTGGAGGAGCAGAGATGCGAACCTGGTTCCCCAGATTACGAGACTACCGCTCTTAACCACTACACCACACTGGCTCTAGTGCATACAAGGCCTAGTCTAGCCCATACTTAGCCAGAAAACCAGTGGCAGAGAATGAAGCTCACATTATTGACTGCTCCTCTAAACAAGCAGTCTCTCTGCACGCTGAAAATGGACACGCTAGTAAAAGGGCTAAGCTAGAATCTTCTTTAGTTTTGGAGGTGGAGATATTTTCTGTATGTGGGAGAGCTAAGCTACTGACAGTCTGAAGTAGCAATAAGCAGTTTCCTCTCAGCTGGCTTTGACACCCAAGGGGGTGTCTCAAGCTCAAGCAGAATACTTTAATAATCCTCGAGTGTTTTCATGAAAGCTTTAAAAATGGTTGAAACAGCTCTGGGCTGCCAGTCCTCTCTATTCCCAAGCAAAAGAAAGAAAGAAAGAAAGAAAGAAAGAAAGAAAGAAAGAAAGAAAGAAAGAAAGAACCCTTATTTTTAAGAAAGCAAAGATGGTTACATGCAAGGATGATGCTTGCTAGGGACAGGGGTGTCATTTCCTGTCAGGGAGTTTGGGATCTGTAGCGTCTTCTGCCTCCTAAAGCAAATTGTGAGGCAGAGAGAACTAGAACTCCCAGGACCATCCCAAGACATTTCGGTCCCTGAGATGAACTACAAAATGATGCCCCCCTCCCCACTAGGGAAGAAGGGGCGAGTGAACATCTGCATCAGGAACAAGGGGGGAATAAAGATCTACATTGAGATCTGTTGCCCCTGTGGATTCTGCTGCCTGAGACGGCCGCCTCACCTTGTCTCATGTGTGGGTCGGCCCTGACAGCTCCCATGGTTCCCAAACATCATTTTCTGCCCAGGAGCCCATAGTTTTCCTAGCAAGTGCTCCTTATCACCTGCACCCCACATTTGCTTGGGGAATGAGAGAGAGAGAGGGAGAGAGAGAGAGAGAGAGAGAGAGAGAGAGAGAGAGAGAGAGATGGACTATTTCAGGTAGTCCAACAGCTAGATCATGATCTACCAGTAGATTAGTGGACGTCTGAACTGAACCCCACAAAATGGGGTAAATCATTGCCAGTTTTTAACTCTGTGAGTAGATCGCAGTCTCTTGGTATTTCTATACTGCTCTCTCATAAAATATCAGAGTGGCATACAGCAATATGAAAGCTTTATGAACCATTGAAAGTGGTACAGAACAATCAATAAAATGACCAGCTAAGGCTGTTCGTGAATATTTTTAACAACCCCATAGGTCTGTCTTGAAAAGATGTCTGAAAGTCAAAAGAGAAGATGCCTGCCGTGTCTCTGCTGGAAGAGGGTTTCACAGGATGGGAGTGGCGACATGAAATGCTCAACTTCAGATTAAGGCCTGATGGGTCACTTTAACACTGTTGTTAGGAAAGCCCATTCCCCTTCCAGAACTGAAATTCCCAGAGTGGTAAACAGTCAATCCTTCTTCCCACGAAACTCTGGAAATTGTAGTTCTGTGAAGGAAATGGGGCTCTCCAGCAACTCTCAGCCCCCTTAGCAAACTTCTCTTCCCAGGCTTCCTTGGGGGAAGCCATGGCTGTTTAAAAGGTATAGGGCAGGTGGAGCCCTATTGCTCCCCCCCCCAGCCCCCAAGTGAGTTCAGTTAAGAAGAAGGACCAGCCCGCCCAACAAAATATTCCTCAAGTATACTGTTTGTCAACTTGGAATTTTATCTTTGAAAATGCGGTTGTTAAAAAACCATAAGCTAACTAAAATAAGGAGAAAGTGCATTACTGTTTGTAGAGCTTCTAGTTTTGGGTCATTTCGAGAAGTTGGCTTTATGTATTTCCTCTTTTCTCCTAAAAGAGATACAAACAAACAGCAGTTACAATTATATAGTCTAACTCACCCAGGCCCTGAGAACAACCATCACCATTTCATCACCAAATTGCCAATTCAAGCGAAAAAGTCTAATAATTTGGACCCGTGAAGGAAGCCCAGCACAGCAGAAGGCAAATGGTCAATATCACAAATTTGAAATTATAATTAAGGGAATACAAAGTGACATAATCTTTTTTGAAGGGTGATCAAGGAGGCACTTCCTAGAAGGAAAGCACATCTTAAAAATGATGCCACATTTGTTTGACTTAAAGCTGTGATAGATAATCTTCGCAGTTAGGTTAATTTATCAAGTACGTTTGCATTTCCTCAGTTGGAAATGGCAAGTGGTGGTGGAGACACCAACCTATCCAACAACAGACTGGATTAAGTCTAGAAATAATATTGAATTAATGAATCTGTTTTGTACATTTGGTCACACTTTCTATGGCGACATACCTTGCGCAATGTCCTCCTCTTCTGAGAATGGATTGACTTGAAACTCTGGGAAAGCTTTGAGGAAGCTTGGCTCCATTGCTTTGGTTTCCTTCCCCTTGCAAACAGGAAGGCTGGGTTTACTACCCCTAGAAACCATGGCAGAAAAATATAGGTAAGCAAGCCGTTCCCAGGTGAGAGCAATTCTAAAGCGGTGGCAATAATATCTATGTAACTGAAGCAAATGTGTTGATGGGATCTTATTTTGATGACATAAGACTCCAGACCCCAAGGTGTCTTTTGAAACATTTGCCTCCAGTAAAATGGGGCTCTTCTGGGAACAACCTTTGACTATTCAGGGATTCAAATCAGGGGGTGGGGTGGGGTGGGGGGCAACACTGCAAAACTGATGAAAGGCTTTCACACCAGGCTCACAAACCAAAACAAGCATAAATCCTGGGGAAAGCAAGGACTTTAAAAATGGACTTGACAATAAGAAAATAATTGAGAAGAATGAGGAAATTGACCATCTGGTATAAATTAAAGGCTGAAATGCCTGATGAAAGATAATATAAATAGGACAAGGGAGATGCGGGAGGGGGAGACATGAAATCTACTTTTTTTTACAATAATGCTGTAACCCACACGACGACTTTCTCTTAACCTTTTGATATTAATACCAGCCACCTTTTGGAACCTCCAGTTCTGATTTAACTCAATATAAAAATGCTCATAAAAGGAAGTCCTAAGAAGAAATATAGAGGAGAATGAGCTCATGTCTAAACTCTGAATCCAGAGCTCAAGGCTCCCAATTCAGAGCTCAGCAAACACCATGATGCACACAGACACATGCATGTCTTACACGTCCCTTCAACTGCAGTTTTCAAGGCTCCCAAAGGAATCTAGGAAGCCTTCCTTCAACACTGCAGCTGGATCAGAAGGTGCTGGCATATCCGTAGCAGAGATGGATGGAGCTTTGGTTCCCCTTGGTTTCTCATTTTTAGAAACTTTAGTCTGGACATTTTCTCATCAGTTTGCAAACATCCTTTTTTAAAAATTGCAAATAATTTCCTCTCATATGTTCATATGCTATTTTTGCTAATGTATGCATTTAGGCACACTTTCCTCTAATGCACACCTCTGTACATATTTTTTTGGTTGGAGAGTGGCATCAAAAATTCAGAGAAGAATGGATTTCAGTGGATAGTTCTGCTTTGGCTCATGCATCGTTTTGGGAAGTGCAAATTAGGTAGGTTTGCATTAACATGAGAACCAAACCGATCCCCGTCACCTACGAAAACCTAAATAGGAATGTGCAGAGCAGTTCCTGCCTTACAACCTTGGGCACCACACACAGTAATTGGCTTTTTGCAGACTGCCCAGATGTGTGATCTGAGAACAGGAAGCTCAGTTTGAGATGTTTCCTCTGTAAGGTTCTAAGTATTTCACACTTCCCCTAACTTAAGTAGTGGGAAGTTACAGGGCAGCATTTTTACAAGGCCACTTTTTTTTATTTTTAGATAAGTACTGAAGACTAACTGTGAACTTTGTAAGAACCACCATTTAGAAATGCCCAGGTGAAGAGAAATCAATGCTTGCTTCTCAGCAATCTTCTGTAGCCAGTTCTCAAAACTTTCTTCCCCCTCCCACATTTGGATACAGTGGTGCCTCTGGTTAAGAATTTAATTTGTTCCGGAGGTCTGTTCTTAACCTGAAACTGTTCTTAACCTGAAACTGTTCTTAACCTGAAGCACCACTTTAGCTAATGAGGCCTGCTGCTGCCGTGCGATTTCTGTTCTCATCCTGAAGCAAAGTTCTTAACCCGAGGTACTATTTCTGGGTTAGCGGAGTCTGTAACCTGAAGCGTCTGTAACCTGAAGTGTCTGTAACCCGAGGTACCACTGTACTTTACGAACTGCTCTTTTCAGCTGCGCTGGACCTGGCAGACAGGTGTGGCTTCAGGACATTTTTAAACTACCCTGATGGCGGATCCTTAACAACTAGAGTAACAACTGGAGAGGCAGTGAAGTGCAGTGGGTAGATTTTGACTGGAGACACCTGGGTTCAAATCACCACTCGTTCTCTCTCAATCCAGCCTCACAGAGCTGTGACGGTCAAGTGGGAGAACCACACATATGCTACTCTGAGCATTCAAATTGGGAAATAAATAAAGAGATTCCTATAGTTCAGCATCAACAAAAAGGCCATGCAAGAACCCAGACAGAGAGAGCCATCCCTTTGACACCAAACAAGAGCAGACACCATCCACAACATCACTTCTTGGGGGCAGATTTGCAGAATACTTTCAGTCAGTCACATTTTATTTATAGCCAATGGCATTTGCAGAATATGACACTCTGAGCTGTACTTTCATTACTGAAATCAGAAAACCAATGAACTTTATGGCAAAGGCTCAATTTCTACCCGTAGTTCTAACTGTTATCATTTTCCCTAGTGTTCGATAGGAGTTTCTGAGTTAGTTCTTTATTAACTATAAACCCCAGAGAAATAGATCATAACCACTTACTTTTGCAGATTCCACTGAGGAATGTGGACTCACTCTTTTCTTTTCTGCTAAGGAAAAAGCAAAGAGACAAAAGACTCAGAAATTGTCCCAAAGGGGGGGAAATGCTCCATGGACATTTTAGGGGGGAAATATTAAAAACTCCTCCAGCACCCAAATCATAGCAACATTTTTCAGACATGATGCTTAAAAGAAGCAAATCAGCAGCCAGCTGAAAGCAACTTCCTTGTTTTCTTCTGTCCCCAAGACTGAAGCTCGTAAATTTGCAGCAACATTCAACGGCAAGGAGGCTGCATTTATACATACAGGAACACAGAAAGATACTCAAGAAAATATTTTGAAGTACCAACCTAAATTCCCAAGCAAGATGTCTGGAGAGCTGTATTGAGGCAGGCAATCTATTTTGACCCCATTGGAACAGTTTTGCTTTCAGAATGCTGCCTTTGTGTGTCGCGCAACCAGGGAGAGGAAGTTGGTCACATCCTTCCTATAGGTGACCTTTCAAAAACAAAACCACCGTTCCTCACACATTAGCGCAACCTATGCATTCCCCTATCGTCCAAGAGTCACTATTCACACATACTGGTCTTGTTGGCATCCGTGTGTCTCAGTCCCTGGAAATTGCTGTCTCTAGTTAGCTTTTGAGAACAATTGTGAAGCTGCTGCTTCTTTTTATAATAAGTGCTTATAAGTTCTAAGTACATATTCTGCAATAAGTGAAACACTTTCCGTAAATTCAACCAAAGCTAATGTGAGATTAAACAATGCTCTTCCTTTTTAAAAGAGTGCTACTGTCATTTTGCCAACACACCCCATTTCAGAAGAAAGCAAAGGGCAGACTAGAATGGAATAAATTAATGCAGCAAACAGAAAACAACAGTGAGCCGTCAACAATGTGTTGTTGCAGCAGGTGGGGGAGGAGAGGGGGAGGCAGGAGATGCATAGACAAAAATATATCATTTTCAGCTATGGGAATATTGGTGGATACACATTCCTACCATTCAGAAATGTTATAATTTCTTCCAATGGCCCAAACAAAAATTTGACAGCAGTTATGGATCTGGATTAAACCGGCACATTACAAAGGGGTCAATAATGCTGGTGTGTGCAATTGACTTATTTAAAAAATATATTTGGTCTCCTGTAGGCAGAGCATTGTATCTAATGCTGTATGAGCAAAATTCTGCTTGTGCAACAGGAATTCCCCTTCTCCTCTACCCTATCACACATACCCCAAAAAAAACTGCCACAGAGGGGGTGGCTGTAGAGGAAGGGCATGTTCTGCTGTGCCAGCAGAAATCTCCTGCCAGTGGCGCCAACTCCAGGGGGGCCCGGGGGCTCAGGCACCCACAATTTTTTTGCTGTGGGTGCCCAGTCTCCGCCGTCCCGCCACTGCGTGTGCCCAGCTGCCACCTTGCCTCTGGCTCTCCAGCACCATGGCTGTGACTGGGCCGGGGCCTGCACCTCCACCACGGGGCCTGATCCACCTGTTGGGGCCTGATGCAGCCCTGGACATGCTTCTGGGATGCAGCCACAGTGGGCCCCAACAGAGGCCCTGACGCGCAGGCCCCAGCCTAGTCGCTGCCAGAGTGCTCACGTGCCCCATGCCGTACCGTCATGATGTCACATGACATCATGATGTCACATTGTGCCTCGATGTCATGATGTTGCAATGTAGTGAGCATGCGCCGGGCACCCAAAGTCTGTGGCCCCAGTCAGCACTTCTGTCTCCTGTGCAAGCAGAACAGCAGTGTTAGATGCATCCGAGGGTCTCCCACACTGAATGGTTGTGCTAGCAAACACTAGCATAGCACATTGTTCTTATTATTTATTGAATTTATATACCGCCCTTAGCTGGGGGCCTAGGTCACCTGCCTCACCCCTTGGAAACTTACCTGGCAAGGGGGCAGCAGAGGAGGGCAGGCAAAGTGACTGCAGCATAGAATTACATTGGGTAGCATAGATAGCAGCTGCAGCTGCTTCCCTCTGGTCAGCGCTCTGGGACCTGCCTTCCTCCCCGCCCCCATCACACCAGGTGCTGACAGGGGACCAGGTGGTGAGAAATGTCCTTTGGAGAAGAACAGCAAGTTGTGCACTTCTTAGGTCATGGGTATCTTGTTCGTTGCCTGGGATAAGAACTTATCATAATTGGTTGTTATTTTGTATGTATTGCTTAAACACTAGCTTCTGGGTTAGGGTGGGCTATTTTATTAAGTATATGTGTATTGCTGTTATATGTTTGAAATAATTTAATTTTAAAAAGTGAAAAAGAAGAAAGAAATTATACCAGAGCTGTTTCCACTGTACTTTCTGGTAGCGCCTCACTACATCTTGCTAGATGTTGCCTTAAATATTTGGGGCAGGCTAAATTCACCACGGACGCAGGTGGTGCTGTGGGTTAAACCACAGAGCCTAGGCACCGCTCCGGCAGGAAGCTTGTTTGGTACAGGAAAAAGGGAACGTGTATATGTATGTGTGGAGAAAGCGAGAGAGAATATTCAGAAAAAGTACAAACCTGCTTACTGACTTGGATCTCAGCTCACTGGCGAAGCCAGTCTTTGTTCAGGTTCACAATACTCATTACACAATACATTCACTATTTCATTATGTCTTCCTGAAGTTTAGTACCTAGACTGATGTGGCTTGAACATCCAGGAAAACTCTTGAGTTTAGTTAGGGTGTGTGTGTGTTTTTTCAAAAAGAAAAATTCTTCAGGCCTCACTTTAGTACCATAGATGGTGGTGCAGAAAGCACAGATCATTATTTCCCTGTGTTGAGATGGAGGCCTGGTCCTTTGCCCTTGAACACAGGCAGCCAGAATGAGTCCCAGCATCAGAAGCTTCAGATCACTCCAAGCATTGGCTTTCCATCAGTTTCAAAACGGGCCAGGCAGTGGATTCTCACACTTCTTTTCAAATATTTTAACATTCTGTGAAAAGCTTCGTTCTAAAACAGGTCAACTCGTAAAATATGACCGAGCTGTAAGATTAAAATTGGAGCAATTTACAGTGGTGCCTCGCAAGACGAAATTAATTCGTTCCGCGAGTCTCTTCGTCTTGCGGTTTTTTCGTCTTGCGAAGCACGGCTATTAGCGGCTTAGCGGCTATTAACAGCTTAGCGGCTTTAAGAAAAAGGAAACAAACTCGCAAGACGTTTCGTCTTGCGAAGCAAGCCCATAGGGAAATTCGTCTTGCGGAACGACTCAAAAAACGGAAAACTCTTTCGTCTAGCGAGTTTTTCGTCTTGCGAGGCATTCGTCTTGCGGGGCACCACTGTAAATAAGTAGGTCGGGTGGAAACTGGATACCTGGCAATGGCCTATTCCCCTCCCCAGATGTTGTGTAGGGAAGAAGTTAGGGCCCATGATGCCTCAGCCCTTCAGGAAGAGGTATTGAACGGCAGTGTGCTGCTGTGCTGCTGCAAGGGCCAGAAATGTTGAATTCCCAAAGCAGCTTGAAAACGGAGAAGTATTCTTTTGGCTGGGATTTAAAGCCTTGCCCAAGGATGGGCAGAGGTCCTAGGAACCTAGCTGTGAAGGGTGCTTCCCAGCCAAAGGAATGCACACAGCAGATAGTTACCTCTTTATTGCCAAGCTGACACAGTCGTTTCTACGGTTCTGAAGGACCCCCCCACAACCATCTAGTGTCTGGACAGCTATTCCCAGGTCCACGCTCACTGCAGCGACTGCAGCAACAGGGGACCACTCTCTCTCCCTCACTTTGGTATGTACCTCCCCCTGACGGGCTGCACACACTTCCTCTGCTCATCCCATTTCAATCCCCTCCTGGTTCTGGGAGACAGTGGTGTGCAGGAGAGGGTGGGGAAGCCCTGCCCCCCCTTCCCTTGCCTGACCTGCCTCTTCCTCCTCTTCTTCCAACCCATCCTGTGCTCCACCCTCCATCTCCGAAGCTTCCCCTGCCTTGACTCTTGCCTCCTGCCTGGAAGTCGTGCTGCCTCTCCCAAGTCAGACTCCAGCCCCCTTTTCCTGGCGCACTCATCAGTGCCCTGCCTGTCCTTGAGATTAGTGAGGTGAAGGAAAAGAGGGCCTAAAGGCAAGGATTTGGCAGGGAAGGTCTCTGTAATCCTCGCCATTTACATGCTTAGTAACAGCTTCAATGCAATAATCCCATCCCCTGTTAACAGCCATGTCCCTCAAGGAGCCTTCGTCCAAATTAACATGCCAGCACAATCCTCTTTGTACATTTAACTCTACTAAGCTCTCCTTAATATTGCTGGGCACTGTGATGAAACCCACCAGTTGTTCCAAGGGGGCTCCAAGCTCTGCAGAAATATTATCTAGCTCACTTTTTTAAAAAGGGACAAAATACCAGATGGAGAAGGAAACCGAATGGAACAAGCTCCCCACAGCGTGTGAAGGGAAGCAAAGTGCTTTTCTATCATCTAGAAAACAAGAGGGCTTGAAATTCACGCCAGTTATGTATGGAGAAAGCACAGAGATTGTTTGCATAATAGAATTGCCATAGAACGAATAGTTATCTTGAGAAACACTGTATTAGCTTAAGTATGAAGCTTTTGACAGTACCTCATTCAGCCCCACAATGCTCTGTGTGGGTCTTCCCCCATCCTGGTGCCCTGCATATGTTTTGGGATTGCATCCCCCTACTTCCTTGACCAAGGGCCACAGTAGCTGGGACCGGCAGGAATTGCAGTCTAGAAATATCCAGAAGGCACAAAGTTGGGGGAGACTGCTCTCTGACAGCAATTCTCAAGCAGTTTACCTCAGTGAACAACTTATTTCTGAAAAAACGTACAGTCCATGTTTCAAGAGCTGAATATTTTCAAAGCAAATAAACACTTCTGAAGGGATTCCAGGGTGTATTTTAGTGCAGTCAGTTTACCCAGCCCTACTGAGCTTATTGAAAGTGCACACAGAATACACCCCAAACCATCCTCAGAAGATTTGAGCAGTTAATGGTATGCAACCTGCATTTCAGGGAATCGCATCCATCACTGAAAACCGCCTCTTAAGCTTCCAAAACCCTGTTTGAAAACCAGCGAAGAAGGGAGGTTTGTTTTCGATACATTCGCCCATCATATCAATGCATGGCCAGCGATTCATCGGACATAACCAAAGCACAACAAAAACTCCAGGCAGCCATTCCATCTGAGATTCACAGTGTATTTAGTGGCAATAATACTGAGTGGTATAAGGGTAAGACAGAAAGGTCGACAAGGACTCCAAAAGTTACATAGAAGAGTTCCAGGGCACAGTCTCAAAATAACAAAATACAATTGAACAGATATCGTATTATGAATTAAGCTGCGCAGTGGCTTAATGAAAAGGGCTGGGGTATGTATGTCTAAAATCAGGGTGTAAAGGATGGAGCAGAGGAGGTACACACACCCCTCTGAAAGTCTGGAGGGAGGGAATGGTCTTTTCGCAAACGGATTACAGCTACTTCCTACCTCATAGCCGCACACATTTGAAAATGAATTAAATTCCACACTCCAACCAACATTGGTTCCACCCATACCTATATTATATGTGTCAATATTATACCCTGGAGACTGGGAAAATACAGCAACTTACTGCTTAGCATT